GCGGTCTGGACCCCGGGGTTTCTGTCCGAGCCCTGCGGCTCGCTGGGTACCCTGAGCACTTTGCTTTACCTCCTTGGGCCCTGATCTCCCCTTCCCCACCGCCCCTCGCCTCACTCCCTTGTCAGATCTCTTAAGTTGCTTCCACCTGAGACTCAGCCTAGCCTCAACCCCGTGGCTCCAGCCAGGCCTTCCCTCCAACCCCAGAAGCAGGAAGAGCAGACAAGGCCTGTCCCCTCTCCCCGCTCTCCACCTGCCCAGGTGGTGCGCTGGAGCTCGGGCGATGCGGCCCGCAGTTGCCCAAGTGGCCACTTTTCTAACGGGTCTAGGAACCCCCAGTCCTGGCCCCCGGGCGGGCGTGCAGGGGACAGGGAGGTGCAGTGGGCAGCGCTCATGAGAGGCACTGAGGCTGGGTCTGCACGCCCGGCCGCCGGCCTCTCTCGGGGCCTCCTCTTCATTCCGCGGGAACCCAGACCCCAGATTCCCAGGCTGGGAGCCTGCGAGAGGAAAGCTGGGGCTGGGGCTGGGCCGAGGGGGGCAGGGGTGCGGTGCGGCGCGAGGTGGGAGCTGGGGGGTGTGAGGGGAGGGGCGGCTGCACTTCTGAGAAACAGCTCGGCGCTCAGCAGCCCGCGGCCTAACCCCCCGCCTGCGGCTTCACAGCTCGCTCCCGCTGCCGCCCACGCCGCCCGGGCCGCTCCGGGGGTCGGCGCCCCCGCGGGGGCGGTGCAGCTGCGGAGGAGCGCCGCCGGGGACGGCGGAGGGGAACCCATCGGGAGACGGAAAACGGACGGGGCGGGGTGCGAGGTGCAGGACACCGAGGAGTAAAAACCACCCGCACCCGGGGTCCCGAGCACCGGACCTCGGCCCGCCCGCGTACCCCCCCCCCTCCCCGCGCCCCCACCCCGGTCCTCGCCATCACCCCCGGGCGGGCGGGATCCAGAAGTGAAACCGCCCGAGGTCACAGCCCAGCGCCGCGCTGCGCCCCGCCCCGCCCTTCCGGGCACTGCAGCCCTGCAGGATCTCCCGGCGCCCGGGCGGCTGCAGGGAGGAAGCGGGGGGAGGGGCGAGGGGCCCCGCGGGACAGGCTGCAGAGCGCGCCTCCACTCCCCGGGGTGCCCGCCGGTAACCACGAGTGGGAACCTCGAGGGGCACCGACCTGGCACCGGGAGAGGAGCGAACGGCGCCTGCACTTCCCGCCGCGGCCGCTGGGTGTCACTGCAGCCGCGCGGCTGAGCGGCCGGGGCGCGGGCCCCGCTGGGAGGGCGAGGACCAGCCGCCGCGCCCGCGAGGCTCTGCCCGGCGTTCGCTCCACCAACGCCGCGCCACGAGACGAGGATGCGGCGCCCAGACCTCCCTCCATCCTCCGGGTCTCTGGGCGCTGCCACTCAGCCCACAGACCCGCAGTGAACGAGCTAACGCCCTAGCTCCGCGACCCGTGGACTCATCGCTGGGGCGCTACAGGGACCGACGGCGCCGAGCGCCAGGCACCGCCCCGCCAAGCGCGCCCCCTGGCGACGCGGCCGGGCCTTGCAGAGACGGGGGTGCCTCTGCTGAGCAGGTGCCTGCACTCCACCCCCCACCCTGCCCGACGGCCCAGTGCCCCCCCCCCCATCCCTCGGAGGGGCAGCATCGGCTGCTCCAGAGGGAGAGGGGCCGGAAGGGCGAGCTGCGGGTGCAGATCACACTCGCACGCGCTTTGGTGCCAGAGCGACTATGGGATGGTCCCGCGGTGCACCCTCACTCCCACTCCAGGCTCACCCCTATTCACCAAGCCGGCCCTCCCCGCCTTCCAGCTCCCCCCTCAGGTGTGTGGGATGGGGTTGCTCCGTTTGAGAGAAGGTAACCGGAAGGCGGGAACCTGCTTGGGGACCGATGGGTGTGGGTGAGCCAGGCTGGGAGGAAGGAGACAGGTGGAATGCTCTGGAAAATTGGACCCATCTGGAAGGAATGCCCCCTTCTGCCATCCCAAGTTCCCCTCAGGGCGCAGGCTGGGCAGGGAGATGCAGAGAAACATGCCCGGGTGGCTGTGGCTCTGTGGGGGTGGGGGTAGGGGTGGCCCATCCCATCCCTGCATACAGCATCCCCTCCAAGTCCAAGGTCATAGGGCCCAGCTCCATTAGGGAGAGCCTAGCAGGATCCACGTGGTGGCCCTGAGAGTGACACTGGCCTCCAGTCTCCCTCAGTCTCCTGAAAACCACCCCAAGATAAGCCCACACCATGGAAATGCAGCTATAGCTAAACAGCCCAGGTGCCCAGCAAAGAAAAACCTGCCTGGCCCTAGCTGGTTTGGTTCAGCGAATAGTGCCATGGCCTGTGGACTGAAGGGTCCGGGTTTGATTCCGGTCCAGGGCACATGCCTGGGTTTTGGGCTTGATCCCCAATAGGGGGCATGCAGAAGGCAGCAGATCAATGATTCTCTTTGATGTTTCTAACTCTCCTTCTCCCGTCCTCTCTAAAATTTATAAAAATTAAAAAAACCTGCTGGGACCGGTTTGGCTCAATGGATAGAGTGTCGGCTTGGGGACTAAAGGGACCCGGGTTCGATTCCCGACAAGGGCATGTACCTTGGTTGCGGGCACATCCCCAGTGGGGGGTGTGCAAGAGGCAGCTGATTGATGACTCTCTCTCATCGATGTTTCTAACTCTCTATCTCTCTCCCTTCCTCTCTGTACAAAATCAATAAAAATATATTTTTAAAAAAAATTTAAAAAACCTGTCTCTTCCTTGGGGCAGATGCAACCCCGCAAGGGAGCACCACACCCATAGTTCAAAGCTCGTGGATTGACTGGCCTCAGTAGGGCCAGGGAGTGGACAGCCCTTCTCAGCCCAGACACTCCCTCCTATCCGGAGCTTCCACAGGAAACATGTATGTAATAGTCAAACTTTCAAGCTGAGAGAAGAATGTAATGACTCCCCGTGTGCCCTTTACCCAGCTTTAATCCAGTATCAATTCAGAACCAACCCATCACTATACCCATCCCCTCTCCCCTAACCTCTGGGCTATTTCAAAAACGAAGCTGACCCCAGCCAGTGCGGCTCAGTGGGTCAACCCTTGAACCAGGAGCTCATGGGGTTTTTTTGTATTTTTTATTAGGAGGTCACATTTTCATTCCGGTCAGGGCATATGCCTGGTTGCATGCTCCATCCCCAGTAGAGGGCGTGCAGGAGGCAGCTGATTAGTGATCTCTCATCACTGATGTTTCTAACTCTCCCTTCCTCTCTGAAATCAATTATATATGTATTTAAAGCAGAGATATCATTTCACCAGTAAATACTTCAGAATGAAAGACTTTTTAAAAAGCATAACCACAATACTAGAGTCACACCTTCAGAAATTAACTAATTCCTTAATATCACCAAGTATCTCAACAGAGTTCAAATTTCCCCTAATTGCTCATAAATTTTTTTTTTGGTTGGTTTTTTTTTTTTTTTTTTTTTTTGCAGTTAACTAGTTTGGATTTGAATCAAATAAGGTCAACACATTATATTTGGTTGATGTATGTCTAAATTTCTTGAAAACTAGATTGATTCCCCATCTTTTCTTGAAATATGTTTTGTTATTGAAGAAATGGGGTGTGTGTTCTGAAGTTTCCCAGTCCGGATTCTGGTCATCTGGTCATCCCACATCTTCCTGTTCCCGTGTTTCCGATAAACTAGACAGTGATTCTCAACCTACTTCACCTCCTGGCACACACAAACTACTTACTAAAATTCTGCGGCACACCAACAAATAGATTTTCTGCTGACCTGACCAAAAAAAAAATAGGTATAATTTTGATCCATTCACACCAGCTGTTATTGTTGTGTTGGCTTTTGCCTTTTTTTTTTTTTCTCCCCCAATCTAAGGGAAAAGAGGTCAGTGCCTCTGACTAAATAGGCACACCAGCTGAAAACTGTTGAACCGTTGGATCCAGATTTAGATTTGATTTCTTGGCAAAAATAACATCTTGTTGGCCCTAGTTGGTTTGGCTCAGTGGATAGAGGGTTGGCCTGTGGAGTGAAGAGTTCCGGGTTCAATTCCAGCCAAGGGCACATGCCTGGGTTGTGGACTTGATCTCCAGTTGGGGGCGTGCAGGAGGCGGCCGGTCAGTGATTCTCATCATTGATGTTTCTCCCTCTCCCTTCTTCTCTGAAATCAATAAAACTATATATGTATATTTTTAAAAGAGCCACACTTATTAAAACAGTGAGAGAGACCTGACCCTGGGGGTCTGTCTGGTGTGAGGCAGGCACAGGGGAGTGAGCAGAGCACTCTGGATGCTGACACCAGGTTGGAGAGGGAAGTGAGACGCAGAGGGCCAGTGCTGTAGGGTTCCACAAAGGCTCACCGGAAGGCGCAGAACCATTGGGACGGTGAGCAGATCTCGGGTGGGGAGGAGAGGGGGGTGGACAGTGGGGGTAGGATTGGAGCCGTCCTGGGACTTGATGGTGGACACAAACCTGTGTTTGTCAGGACCAGTCTGCCCAGGCCTAAGAGGATGGGGACGCTGTCTGACCCATCTCCACAGCCCAGGCCCTCAGAGTTACCGCCATAGATCCAGTGTTTCCCAAAGTGTGGTACGCGAACCCCCAGGGGCACGGGAAGAGTTTGGTGGGGGTACATGTTGCGCCGGAGTTTGGCGGGGATATGCACTGCACCGTGCTTACCTGCGCCTAATTCTACGTTCTCATGAGTACAAGGGGAACTCAGCATTATGAAAATTATAGAAGGGGTACACATGTGTCAAAAGTTTTGGAAACACTGAAAATCTCATCTGGAGGATAGTCCCTTGTCCGCTCAGTCATCCCACCAGCAGTCACTGGGCACCCTCTCTGCGTCAGGCTCCGCGCTGGGCCCTGGGGGCTCTCGGGTGACCAAGCCCAGGGTCCTCCCCTCAGGGACATCCCGCTGGCCAGTGTGTGGCATCCATCCCTCTGACACATTCACCAAGGCCTGGTGCACACCTCTCCGGCCCTCCTTCCCGGCCCCAGCCAGCCAGGTCTCACCAGACGGAACTCACACGTGTATCCAAAAATAACCTTTATTGTGAGGCGTATAAAACAGAGCAGATCGACTGGCCGCGGTCTGTACAGCATGTGGGGCATCCGACCACCTGGGAGACCCCCCTCTCTCCCACAATGCCTTGCCCCAGAGTAGTGTCCAGAAAGAAGCTCCCTGAGGGGGGAGGGCCGCCTCCCGTGCCTTCCCTTGAGAAGAGGGATTAAGGATGAGCTGGGGGGGGGGGGGCTGGAGGGGACACTTACTGTCTCAGTGAAGCAAAGGAGCAGGGAGAAAACTGGAGTGGGGGAGCCTTCCGGTTATTCTCCATCCTGTCCCCCCCTCCGAGTCCGCCCGTGAGCCCCGGGCCGGGAGACAGGCCGCGGTCAGAGGGCCACGCGGGTGCAGCCGTGGCGCAGCAGGCAGGGCAGGATGCCGCGGTTCAGCTGGTGGAACTCCACGAGCTGCAGCAGGTCGGTGAAGCGCGTCTGGCCCTCGTCCATGCTGAAGTACAGGCGGCCCTCCTCCTCGCTCTGGGCAGAGCCGGGGGGGGGGGGGGCGGTCAGGGGGCGGGAGCCTGAGGGGCTCCCTCCCGGCCAGGCCTGAGGTGCCCGGAGAGAGCGGGGCCCCGGACACGGGGACCGGGAGGGGAGGGCGGAGGCCCCGGGCTGCGGGAGCCCGGCCCCCACGGCGGCATCTAGGGCGGCGGTGGCCAACCCCTCGGACCTCGTGGACCACCCGGGGCCCGGGCACCGCCGGCTGGCACCCGGTGATCTGGGCAGCGGTCGGCAAACTCATTCGTCATCAGAGCCAAATATCAACCGTACAACGATGGCCATTTCTTTGGAGAGCCGTATTTCTAAAACCTAAACTTCTCCTAACGCCACTTCTTCAAAACAGACTCGCCCAGGCCGTGGGATTTTGTGGAAGAGCCACACTCCAGGGGGCCAAAGAGCCGCCTGTGACTCACGAGCCGCGGTTTGCCGACCACGGGGCTGGGGGCTGACTCACCGGCAGGATCAGGTAATGCTTGACCTTCTGCAGGTGGCACAGAGACAGCACGAAGCCCTGCGGGTTCCGCTGGCTGTCCCGCACCAGGAACAGGCTGCAGGAGCAGGCCGTGTCAGCCGAGGGCGCGGGGTGGCTGCCTTCCCCGGGGTCTCCCTCCCCCCGGGCCCGCCGCCCCCCAGGGCCCAGCCCGCCCCGCCCCGCCTGCCCTTACCCATCCACCAGGCCCTGCTGGGCGATGAGCCGCTGGCTCTCCTCGCGGGAAATCCGCCCGTGGAACCAGGGCTGTGATCGGTGGATGGCTGGGGGGAGAGGTCAGTCTGAGGAGGGGGTCCTCCTACGAACCCCCCCCATGAGGGCGCAGGGATGCCCCCCGGCCCCAGAGGCCGCGCCCTCACCCACCCGCGCTGAGGCTGGTGCTGGAGCAGGGGGTGGGCAGGCTGAAGCGGTGGTTCGTCTTCTTCTGTGGAGAGAGGGCACAGGGTGGGTGGCAGGCCCTGGCTGGGGTATTGCCTAGAGCCCCTTTCTGCACCGGGGCCTTCCCTCCCCCTCCCCCTCCCCTCCCCTCCATGGAAGCCCCTGTGGACAGACGGGAGGGGTGCTGGCCTCACCCGCCAGGCGTGAGCCTCCTCCAGGGCGACGCTCAGGGCCTCCCGGGGGTTGTCGATGATGCGCCCGGTGCGGCCGGTGAAGTCCATGGCCACCAGCGTGTTATCCGAGACGCTCCTCTGCGCGGGGGACAGAGCGGGCCGGGAGCGGTCAGAAAGGACCCCGTGCACCCGGATCGGGGTCTGGCGCCCACCCCAGCTCCCGCCCCTGCCACTCACCAGGGGCGGGGACCCCATACAGGAGGGGCGCAGGTGGCGGGACTGTGCCTGCTGGTAGTTCTTGTACAGCTGCACCCCGTACTGACGTGTGGAGAGAGAGGCCCGAGGTCAAGCAGGTGCGGGGGGGGGGGGGGGGGGGGGGGGGGGACACCCCCAGACCGGCCTCCGGGAGAGCAGGGCTGTGGCTCCGCCCCAAGACGGGAGCCAGGGCTGTGGCTCCAGCCTCGGACTCAGGCTCCGAGGGAGCAGAATGGGGCCCTCATTCTGAAGGCCCCCGAGAGGGGCTGCCCCTCCTCCCGGTGCTGGGGACCCCGAGGGCGGGCCGCACCTTGAAGAGGCGGAAGGCGGAGAGCCAGCAGGTGCGACTCTGCTCGTCCTCGCTGCAGAAGACACGCAGCCCCTTGTGGCCATTGCGGAGCTTGTTGGGCTGCGGGGAGGGAAACCGGCTGATTCATATCGGCCTTTAGGACCTGCCCCGCCTCCACCTCTGCCTCCTGTCTCCGAGGGCAGGGACAGGGGCAGGAACAAGGGCAGGGGCAGGGGCAGGGATAGAAGCAGGGGCAGAAGCAGGGACAGGGGCAGGGATAGAAGCAGGGGTAGAGGAAGGGGCAGGGGTAGTAACAGGGGCAGAAGCAGGGACAGGGGCAGGAACAGGGGCAGGGCAGGGCAGGGGCAGGGCAGGGCAGGGGCAGGGGCAGGGCAGGGCAGGGGCAGGGGCAGGGATAGAAGCAGGGACAGGGGCAGGAACAGGGGCAGGGAAGGGGCAGGGCAGGGCAGGGGCAGGAACAGGGGCAGGGCAGGGCAGGGGCAGGGGCAGGGGCAGGGATAGAAGCAGGGGCAGAAGCAGGGACAGGGGCAGGAACAGGGGCAGGGCAGGGGCAGGGCAGGGGCAGGGGCAGAGAGAGCAGCCTGGGGATCCCAGGCAGAGCTCAGAAGCCCCAGGCAGGACCCGGGGGGCTAAGCAGTCCCCGCTCCCTCCCAGGCCGGCCCGGGCGCTCACTTTGATGCAGAAGCCGAAGTCGGTGGGCATCCCGTACAGCTTGCGGCCCTGGGTCACCACGTACGCGTTGGACTCGCTCACGTCCGCCAAGTACTGCAGGTGCCTGGGGTCCTGCCGGCACAGGGGAGGGGACTTGGTGCGGGCAGACCCAGCCCCCGTCCCCCCAGCCCGGCCCGCGGAGGGGGATCCGTCCCCCCAGCCCGGCCCGCGGAGGGGTATCCGTCCCCCCAGCCCGGCCCGCGGAGGGGATCCGTCCCCCCAGCCCGGCCCGCGGAGGGGTATCCGTCCCCCCAGCCCGGCCCGCGGAGGGGATCCGTCCCCCCAGCCCGGCCCGCGGAGGGGTATCCGTCCCCCCAGCCCGGCCCGCGGAGGGGGATCCGTCCCCCCAGCCCGGCCCGCGGAGGGGATCCGTCCCCCCAGCCCGGCCCGCGGAGGGGTATCCGTCCCCCCAGCCCGGCCAGGGAGGCGCTCTCAGGCCGGGAGGGCGGGGAAGGGCCCAGGACACACAGCACATGGAAAGGGAGGCAGGACTCAAACTCAGTGCGCCTGCCTTCCCCGCCGCTGCTCGGGGCGGGTGAGCGGGGCCGGAGAGAGGGCCCACGGGAGAGAGGGCCAGGAGTTACAGCAGGAAGAGGAAGGTGACCAGACATCCCGCTTTTCAGCAATTTGTCCTGCATCCTACGGCGTTTTTAAACAGTTCCAATAGCCGGGACTGGTTTGGCTCAATGGATAGAGCGTCGGCTTGGGGACTGAAAGGTCCCGGGTTCGATTCCGGTCAAGGGCATGTGCCTTGGTTGCGGGCACATCCCCAGTAGGGGGTGTGCAAGAGGCAGCTGATCGATGACTCTCTCATCGATGTTTCTAACTATATCTCTCTCCCTTCCTCTCTGTACAAAATCAATAAAATATATTTTTTTTAAAGTTCAAATTTAAAAAAATAAATAAATAAAACAGTCCCAATAGCCGAAACCGGTTTGGCTCAATAAAATATATTTTTTTAAAAAAAAGAAGAAGAAGAAAATCGGGACTGTCCCGCCTAAAGCGGACGTCTGGTCGCCTAGGGAGAGGCAGCCCAGCGGCCCGGGGCCGGGCCGCCCCCGGAGACTCACCTTGGAGGTGCCCGCGGTGGAGCAGTAGAGGCCGGAGCGGCGCAGGGAGCAGAAGCAGCGCTTCCAGGGCTTCCGCCCCGAGCCCAGCCCCCGCAGCTGCAGGAAGCCCTGGATCTCCGGGAAGCTGCCCGCGTTCAGGAAGTTCTGCGGCCAGAGGAGAGCGGGAGCGTGAGGGCCGCCCGCCGGGGTGGCTCAGTGGACAGAGCGTCGGCCCGCAGCTTCTATTACGGTCAAGGGCACAGGCCTGGGGTGGGGCTTGATCCCCAGTAGGGGGCGTGCAGGAGGCAGCTGATCAATGATTCTCTCTCATCATTGATGTTTCTCTCTCTCCCTCTCCGTTCTCTGAAATCAATAAAAGTGATTTTTTAAAAAAGAGGGTGAGAGGCCTAGCAGAGGCCACACACACACACACACACACACACACACACACACACACAGAAAACACGCAGCACGCAGGCACTCACCTTCCCCGGACCTGCCCTTATAAGAGGAGTTTGCCCCACGTGCATGAAGCGTCCCCATTTAACAGATGAAGAAACTGAGGCTCACGCAGGGAAAAGACGCGTCCACAGTCACTGAGGACTTCACTAGCTTCTTTCCGCCCACGGAGGGAGGCACCCGACTTCAGGGCCGAGAAGCAGGCGGGCCGGACCCAGGGGAACCGGGACGATGGAGGGTCCTCACCTGGATGAGGTCTTCGTGCGATAAGCCCGCCGGGGCGTCCAGACAGCTGGAGACCATCTTCTCCGGGAACAGGGAGTGCTGGGGTGCAGGTTAGGGGTCAGCGTGTCCCATGCCCAGAGTCCCGCGCCCTCCTCGCCCCTCCCCTCTGCCACCTCCCCTCTGCCCCCTCCTCTCCCCTCCCCTATGCCCCTCCTCCCCCCTCCCCTGTGCCCCCGCCCCTCTGCCCCCTCCCCCCTCCCCTGTGCCCCTCCTCCCCCCTCCCCTCTGCCACTCCCCATGCCCCTCCCCCCTCTCCCTCTGCCACCTCCCCTCTGCCCCTCCCCCCCCCCTCCCTCTGCCACCTCCCCTCTGCCCACTCCCCCCCTCCCCTTGCCACCTCCCTCTGCCCCCTCTCCCCTCCCCCTGCCCCTCCCACTCCCTCTTGCCCCCTCCCCCCTCTGCACCTCCCCTCTCCCCTTGCCCCCTCCTCCCCCCCCCTCCCCTCTGCCACCTCCCCTCTTGCCCCCCTCCTCCCCCCTCCCCTCTGCCCCCTCCCCTCTGCCCCCTCCTCCCCCCTCCTCCCTCCTCCCCTCTGGCCCCTCCCCCTCTCCCTTCTGGCTTCTCCCCCCTCCCCTCTGCCCCCTCCCCTCTCCCCTCTGCCCCTCCCGCACACACACTCACCGGGGAGCTCTTGAACAGCTCGTACTTGGCGAAGTTCTTCCGGAAGACGAAGCGGCTGTCTCCGCCGATCGGCCACGCAGCTTGGACTTCCACTACCGACTCGTGGTCCTCCAAGACCCGCTCTGGGGTCAAGGGCAAAAGGCAGGGGTCAGAGGAAACTGAGGCTCACGCAGGGAAAAGACGCAGGGAAAAGGGCAGAGGGGAGGGGAGAGGAGGGGGCGAGCCATCTGCTTGGCCCAAGGTGCGAAGCACTGCCCCCGGGCCCAGGCCAGCCCCTTGCACCCCAGCTCACCCAGGGCCAGGTGGGGGTGGCACTCCACCAGCCCCCAGTTCTCGTCGCTGAGGGCGTGGGCGCGCTGCACCAGCATCTCGCACACGTAGCGCGCGGTGGCGCCCGCCGCCACCTCCACCGACCGGCAGGCCCCGTCCTCGCTGTACACTTTCACCACCTGCACCCCGGGACAGGACGGCAGAGGGCTCGAGGAGACGCAAAGCGGGGTGCTCCCCGCCCCCCACCTGCTCCGCCCTCAGGGACCCCTGAGCAAATCCCCCGCCTCCAACCCCCCCCCCCAGTCCCATCTCCTCCCTCCGCCCTGCCTGCCCTCTCCCAGGGCCACTCACGTGGGGGCAGCTGGTGTCCCGGGGCAGCAGCCCCCTGGCACCGGAGAGGGGGGGCTGTGAGGGAGGACTGCACAGCTCCGGGAAGGGGTTGGGGATGGAGGGGAGAGAGGTGGTCCGCAGCTCCTCCTCTCGGAGTCTCCTGTGCGGGTGGGGGAAGAGCTGACTTCAGGCTCCTGTTGTATTTCCCATTCGGACCGCACCCTCCCCAGCCCCGCTCAGCCCCGCAGCCCCACCGTACCTGCTGGTGGGGATGGACAGAGGTTGGGACCGCTTCACCTCCCCGGGAAGAGGGGCGTCGGGGGGCGGGGGAGTCCCGGGCGGGGTCCCCGGGGCTGGGTACAGGTCTTCCGGGGAGCTGCTGTGATGCGGCGGAGACAGGCCCAGCTCCATGGCATCTGAGGGAGGAGAGGGGTCTGAATGCGGCCTCCCTTTAAAAAGTCCAAAAGATTTAAAAGAATCTTTCCAAAAATCGGGACTTTTTTTAAACGCAGCTGGTCGCAGGACAAATTGTTAAAAATCGGGACTGTCCCGCCAATAGCGGGACGCCTGGCCCCCTTAGTTATACAGGAAGGGAGAGGGACAGAGAGACAGAAACATCGACGATGAGAGAGATGGAGCTTGCAACCCAGCCGGCCCGGACGAGGCATCGAACCAGGACCTCCTGGTTCATAGGTCAACGCTCAACCACAGAGCCCCGCCAGCAGGGCTAACATACGTGCTGCTGTTTTTATTTATTTTAGAGCGAGAGGAAGGGAGGAACACCGATGAGAGAGAAACATCCATCGGCTGCCTCCTGCACACCCCCTACCGGGGATCAGGCCCGAAATCGCGGCTTGTGCCCGCACTGGGACTCAGAAGGTCAACTCTTGGTTCCTGAGTCTAGGCTCCACCACTGAGCCACACTGGCTGGGCCTGAGGATATTTTCCCATTAATTTTTAGAGAGAGTGGAAGGAAGGAAAGAAGGAAGGAAGGGAAGGAGGGAAACATCAATGCGAGAAAGACACATAGATTGGTTGTTCTTGCACACACCCGACTGGAGTTGGGATCGAACCTGCAACCCCAGGTTCGTGCCCTTGACCTGGACTCCTTGGCCCTTCGGTGCCCGGGCTGACGCTCTAACCATTGAGCACACCAGCCAGGGTGAGAAGGAAACCTTTTTGCTCTCACCACAGGTGAGCCAGGGAGTAGAAGCCAGGGCTAGAACTCCTAGTCCAGTGTCCTTCCTTTAGCCCCCAGCTGCCCAGGGGAAGAGCTAGGAGGGTCACCCCACCACAAGCCAGCAGACTCCACGGCCCACAGGCTGTCCCGGGCGCACGCCCGCAGTGTCAGACCAGAGGGCCCCCTCTGTCTCCGGCGTCCTCAGCTCTGCGCCGGGTTTTTGTCGAGTTGCCAGGCCCGGCTGCCAGAGCCTGTTGTGGCAACACATGCCGGAGTGCCGGGTGACGCACAGAGCGGGGAGGAGGTGGGGACAGACAGGAACCAGGAAGGCAGGCGGCAGGCTCAGCTGTGGGGGGAGAAGGACACCTTTGCCCCAGTAGCTTCCTAACCTGTGTGCCCTCCCCAGGCCCTGCCTCCTGCCCAACTTCCTTCAAGTCCTAACGCTAGAGCCCTAGCTGGCGTGGCTCAGTGGGTAGAGCATCGGCCTGCGAACTGAAAGGTCCCAGGTTCGATTCCGGCCGGGGGACACATGCCTGGTTGTAGGCTCAGACCCCAGTGGGGGGCATGCATGCAGGAGGCAGCCGATCCATGATTCTCTCTCATCATTGATGTCTCTATCTCTCTCTCCTTCTCCCTTCCTCTCTGAGATCAGTAAAGAAATACATGTTTAAAAAGAAAAAAAAGTTCTAATGCTAGAGCGACCTCCTCGGAGAAGCCTTCCTGAAATTCCCACATTAAGCCCAAAGGGCTCCCAGGGCACTGGGCTGGCCTCGAGCCAGTTACCGCGCTCCAGCCCTATCCACCCGGGGTCTCCCCAGCAGGCCAGGGTCTTCCACATCTTAGCACCCACGGGTGCATGGGAACCAGGACCAGTAAGAGCAGGAGAAATGAGGCAGAGAGGCCCGCTGTGGAGGAGAGGGAGTGCAGGCCCCTCCTCCACAGGAGCCAAGACCCCCTGGGCTGGTGCAGACCTGGGAGGACCTGGAAGAGAGAATGAGGGGATTTGGGGGGGACAGGTGAGTCAAGGTGGGGCGGGGCAGCCTGCCTGGGGCTCTCCCTTCAACCTTGACTCATTTGAACAACTTCCTGGCTCAGGAGAAACACAAACAACTCTGCCTCTGCCCACCTTCCGCCCCCAACCTGCCCCCAACCTGCCAGCTGGGAGGAATGGGAGGCACAGGGTAGGGAACAAGATGGGGGAGGGGAAGGATGCAGGCCCTGAGGCTCCTTTGACATCATCTCCTCCTTCCCTGCCCTTGGCCTCCCTCCACTCCTCCAGTCCGGGTGGGACTTGCACTCCATAGAGTCCAGTATCTATCACCCAGCCCAGGAGCCCCCTCACCCAGGAAAGCGAGAAGAAAAGCCTGGCCTGGATTCAGAGGCCCATCTGGAGTGGAGCCAGCCTCCCAGGGGTGCTCCTCATTCACCCAAAGAAACTTCCAAATGCTCCCTCCCTTGTGTAGGACCTCCCAGACTTTCCTTCTGCTGCTGCAGCCCGCCTCTAGCGCCCAGGACTCAGGGTCCAGGAGACTCAGCCGCACCTCCCTGGTGGGATGAGATCCTCCAAACACATTGTCCTAGTGCCCTGGCCAGCGGCTCCCCCAGGAGCAGGAGTGAAAAGTCAAGACACCTAAGGACAGACAGGCCGATAAGGAAGGCCCAGGAGAGACAGGGAGGGGCTTAGGGTCTTGCTGGAAGGGGAAACCACATCCATTACCCACCACCAACACACACCAGTATAGCAACACCAAAACACAATCCCACCGCCACCACCACCGCCACCACTGCCACCACCACCACCACCACCCCTAGCCAATATGTCAAACAGCCCTGGTAGCTTCATTCCAGGGAGGCCGAGGGAGAGGGGCTAAGAGGCGCTGATCCTCTTCACAATTCCCCTGGGCGACTTGGAGCTGTTCCCCAAAAACAGATTCCGGTCAAGGGTCAAGGGCACATGCCCGGGTTGCCTGCAGGTGGCAGCCAATCTATGACTCTCATCATGGATGTTTCTATCTCCCTCTCCCTCGCTCTATGAAATCAACAAAAATATAATAAAAAGAAAAAGAAAAAGTTTTCAAACTGGGGCCCTAGGAAATTGGCGTGTTTAAGAAACCGAACTCCCAAGTCCACTGGAACCCTCAAGGCCCCCAGTCCCGGCGGCGGCGGCGGCGGCCCGGCCAGCGCCTGCCCTGCCCTGCCCGGTGGCTCGGCCCCACCCACCTCCCGCCCTCCGCGCCGCCTTGTTTACTTCCAGAGTCTGCCCCACCTGGCAGCCGGGTGCGGGGGTGCGGGGTGCAGGGCCAGTGTTTGGGGCCAATAAAAACCAGGCCGCCGTCCGGGCTTCCCAGGTGAGGGCGGGGCGGGGGGGCTGGACGGGGCGGGAGGCCCAGGTGCTGCCCGGGACCCCAGGCCCAGCCTCCCTCGGGATTGATGGGGGGAGAGGGGGCCCAGGCTTCACCTTTGGGGGTGCTCGGAGGGTGCAGGGCCAGGGAAGGAGGCGGGAAACCCCTTTGTGACCCGGAGTCGGAGGGAGGGGCCAGGGCCCTGAGGCCCCGCCCACTCCCTCGCTTAGAAAAAACACAACACCCAGTGGGGAGGGGCAGCTCTTTTAAAAAAGTTTGATTCGGGAAGAATGCGCCAGGGTCCGGGAGTTAATCATTCCCGCCGCCGGCCTTCGGGAGGCCCCGGGCAGGGGGTCGGGGCGGGGGTGGGGGGCAGAGTCCAGGGGGGCAGCCGGGAAGGGCCTCTGGAGTGGCTGCGGGCTGGGCCGCCTTCCAGCGGCCGACAGGTGCATCCCCATCCCAACCCAACGTGCCGGCGCCCCGGCCCGGCCCGGACCCCGCTCTTCCTCCGGCCAGTGCGGTCCTACAAGACCACCCTCTTCCCCCCATAACCCCCTCCCCCTCCGCAGACCCCAAACCCCCAGGACACACCCTCCCCACCGCGTGGCCGCAGACCAGCCTTCCACTCGAAGCCTCTGCGTCCTGAGCGGGGGAGGGAGGGCGCCCCCAAACCCCCGCCCCGGCCCCGCCTGCCATCGAGGCCAGGGCTGCGGTCCTGCGCGGGGAGCCCATCCTCTGGAACCCCCTCTTTCCTGCCCCCCACACCGATGGGAGGGGGCCGGCCCCGGCCCCGCGGAGACGCCGGTCTGGATAAACTCGGGGACCTCAGACCCGGGTGAAGCAGGCGGACAGGGGGCGGCTCCCCAGCGGCTGGGACTCGGACCCCCTCCCGGCTCGCCTTCCGGGAGGGACGGGGAGGGGCCAGTTTCCGCGGGAAAGCGCGGCTCCGACCGGGAGGAACCTGAGCCCGGCTTCCCCGCGCCCGGGCCGCCGTGCGGGGCAGCGGGGCGGGGGCAGCGGGGCGGGGGGTGGCGGGCGGGGAAGCCGGGGACCGGCGATGGGAGCGGGGACGGGCGGGGGCAGGTGGGGAGGCGGGGGCGGCAGGAGGAATTGGAGGAAAAGAGCCGGGGAGGCAGGCGGCCGGGGTAACTCAGCAGGAGGCCCCATCGGTCCACTCGGACCCCGGACCCGGGGCTCCGCACCCCTAGGACCAAATGCCCGCCGTCGTCCTTACCTGGCCGGGGCCGCGGGTTCGGGGGGAGACGCCAGGCCCGGAGCTACCTGCACCCCCCCCCCCCCCACCCCCGGCCCGACATCACGGGGCGGGGGAGGGGGAGCCGGTCGGCCACTCGCTCACCTGGGCAGCCGGCCAGCCCGAGGCCCGGGACCAGCACGGCCTGGGGCCCGGGACATCGGGGTGGGGGTGGGGATGGGGGTGGGGGTGACAGCAGGTGGTCATCCGGGATCGAGCTCGGTCCCCTTACCTGGAAAAGCCTCAGCAGGAGTCGCAAGACACAGGGTCCGGAATCCGGCTCCGTCTAGGGACCCCAGACACCTGGCCTGGGTTTCACTCCACCCCCTCTTCTCTGCAGGTGGCGGGAGGGGTCCCCGCTCCGGAGGGAGCCGTGGGGGTTCGGGGGGAGCCTAAGCAGCCCTGTGTGTCCCCGCTTCTGGCCCAAGGAAACTGAAATGTGTTGTGCAGGTGGAGGCGGGGCCTGGAGGGGGCCTAGGAGGAGGAAGCACCCCGGGGGCGGGGACTCCCTGAAACTCGACGCCGGCCGGGATTGTTTTTGTCCCTTTCAGCCTGGCAGCAGGTGCCAGGGGAGAGAGAGGCGGAGACAGCCGACCTGCACCGCCTCCAGAGCGAAGATCTGGAGTCCACGTCGCCTGTCGGGGAGAAGCTGGGGGCGGGAAAGTGGGGGGGGGGGGGCGGGGTGAAGGGGAAAGGCCCCGCCCACTCTTCCCTGTCCCTTCTCCAAGCCTGCTCATTGGCCAAGCAAGGGGGCTCTCGGTCCCACCCCCTGGGGCAAAGGGCACTCTGCAAAAGAGGGAAGCCTGCCCCTTGACCTCCAGCCAGTCTAGTCACCCAAGCTGCATCGTGGCTCCTAGGAGGCACTCAGAGTGTGTCCTCCCTTCTAAGCAAAGCCCAGAGACTCAGCTTCTCCTTCTGAGAGTGAAGGGGAGAGCCAGGGTCTCTCCGGGGGAGAAGTGAGCTGGGCAAAGCTCTGGCCAGGTGCCAGGGGACTCCCTGAGAGCCCTCCCTCCAGGCTCTCGGGCAGCACTGGGCAAACACCAGGGCTGGAGGAGGATCTGGGAAGCTGAGATCAAAGGCAGCAGCGGCAACCGCCCCGCCAGAAAAGCGGGTAATGGTTGGGTAAACAAACAATCCACAAGGTGATAAGAGGTCTTCCCTGGGGGAGACCATGAGAAATGTCTCCTGCCTCAACTTTCTCCAAACTAGATTTTTTTCCTGGAAAAACCAGTGTGAGAGGACTAAGCAAAGAAGTGGGGGAGGGGAGAGGTCACTGGGGCCACGGAGCAACTTGTGCAAAGCACAGAAGTCAGTTCCCTCAATGATTCCTTCATTCAACTGATATTGGTCAAGTACCTACTGTATGTGAACCGGAGAGCAACAAAAACAAACCCCACCCTTGTCCTCAAACAGCCCAGGCAGGGAGACTGATGTTAATCAAAGGATCGCACAAACAGTAAGAAATGACAGGTGACAACTGCCGGGAGAGTGACTCACCTGGGAGTGAGGGAAGTCTCCTCCGTGGAAGTGACGAGGAGCAGAGGGGAGGCTGTGCGGGGCCAGAAGGTGGGTGTGGAAGGTACGGGGAGCAAGTGCTTGGACTCAGCAGGGCTTTTCCCAGTGTGGCCTGGGACCGCCTGCCTCCACACCTCCTCCGCTTGTGCAAAAAAACAGATCCCTGTACCCCTCCCCACCCACTGAACCTGTCTCTGGGGCCAAGACAGGAATGTATGGTATTGACAAGCCCTCGGGTGGTTGTTCTGTAAACCTGGTTTAAGAGCCACCCATCCTGTCTGTCCAGACCGGCAGGAACTGTGGACAGAGGCCAGACCCTGCAAGGTCTATCTGGGCTTACGTAGAGGCACCGAGGATATCTATTCTGGAAAGTTCACTCTGGGTGTTGAAGGATAGGTTGGCGAGGGAAGTCAGACTCAGAGGCTGAGTGCTGTAAGTCTCCATGTATATGGATTTCTGGAGGGCGTGGAACTATAAAGACAGAAAACAGATCTGGGTTTGGGGAGGGGAGGTGGGGTTGATCATAGGGGCACAAGGACTTGTGGGAGGTGATGGATTGTTACGTATTTGTATTTTGGTCAGGATGATGGATATACCACTGTGTGTGTCAGGACTCACAAACACTCAAGAGGGTGAATTTTACTGTGTATAAATTGTATCTGAATTTTCAAATTAAAAAAAAAACAAGAAAGAAAAGATTTATAGCTCAATGAAACAGAATCAAAAATCCAAATGTAAACCCTTACATTTCTGGTCAATTGATTTTTGACAAAGGTGCCAAGACCATTCAATGTGGGGGAAAGGTTAGTCTTTTCAATAAATACTTCTGTGCTGAAACCGGTTTGGCTCAATGGATAGAGTGTCGGCTTGGGGACTGAAGGGTCCCGGGTTCAATTCCGGTCAGGGGCATGTACCTTGGTTGCGGGCATATCCCCAGTAGGGGGTGTGCAAGAGGCAGTTGATCGATGACTCTCTCTCATCGATGTTTCTAACTCTCTATCTCTCTCCCTTCCTCTCTGTACAAAATCAATAAAATATACTTTAAAAAAATAAATAAAATAAATAAATACTTCTGGGACAGTTGAATATCCACATGCAAAGGATGAATCTAGATCTTGACCTCACACAAGGTACACAAATTAATTCAAAATAGATCAACCTAAGTGTGAGAGCTAAAAATAAAAAACTTCTAGAAGAAACCATGGGAGAAAATCTTTATGACTCTGTACGTCAAATACAACAGCAAAAGCACAAGTGACAAGTGAAAAAAATTTAAAATTTTTTGCCTTTCAGACACCATTCAGAAAATAAACACACACACACACACACACCCCTTGTCAAACACTGGGAGTAAATATAACTGATTAGGGACTTTGTATCCAGAGTCTATAAAGAACTCTTACAAATCAATAATAGACAAACAACCCAATTAAAAATGGGCAAAATATTTGAGTAGATGTTTTTCCAGACAAGATATATGAATGGCTAGTAAAGTTGCTCAACATAATTTGTCATCAGATAAATGCAAATTAAAGCCGCAAGGAGCCTGGCCAGTTTGGCTCAGTGGAGAGAGTATCAGCCTGTGGACTGAAGGGTTCTGGGTTAGATTCTAGTCGAGGGCATGTACCTGGGTAGCAGGCTCAGTACTTGGGTTCCAGGCTCAATCCCCAGGCCCCATCAGGGTCCGAGTGGGAGGCAACCAATCCATGTCTCTCATATCGATTTTCTCTTTCTCTGTCTCTCTAAAAATCAATGAGAAAATATCTTTGAGTGAGGACTAACAACAACAACAAAACCCATAATGATATATCACCTCACACTCATCAGAATGACTATAATCAAAGGGACAGACAAGTGTTGACAGAGATATGGGGAAACAAATCCTTATATATTGCTGGTGGGAATGTAAAATGGTCCAGCTACTTTGAAAAACAATTTGGCAGTTACTTAAAAAGTTAAACATAAACTGTCCATGCAATCCATGCAATTCTATTCCTAGAATCTACCCAAGAGAAATGAAAACACAAAGACAATTACATAAACATTCTTAGAAGCATTATTCAAAATAGCCAAAAACTGGACTTTCAAATGTCCATCAATTGTAATAGATGAACAAAAGGTGGCATGTTCGTAAAATGGGAAAGCAAGCAACAAAATGAAGCAAACTACTGGTACAGCTACAGCATGGATGAACCTCAGAACCTGTACACGGAATGAAAGAAGCCAGAGCGAAGGACCACATATTTTATCATTCCATTTAATACATGAAATGTCCAGAAAAGGCAAATTTATAGACAGAAAGCATGTCCGTGGTTGCCTAGGACTGGAGTTGAGAGCTGGATTGACTGCAAGCAGACAAGAGGGACCTTTTGAGGTTGATGGAAATGTTCTATAATTTGATTGTAGCCATGGATACACAAATCTCTATGTCATTGTTTTAAAACGAATGGTTTGGGGATGCTAGAGGGGGTGACCTGTTCGTATATTACAGTGGGATGCCAGGGAGGGAGGACGCAGGAGTACCTCCTTCCCAGCTTCCATATCTAGAGTCTAAAAATGGGAACAGTGGTGTCAGCCCATAGTAAGGCTGGGATGACAGGGGAGGTGCAGGAGCTGGAGGCACGTGATGGGATCAGAGAGCCTCAGGAGTGGGAGCCCCAAAGCCTATGGTTCCCAGATGCAGGGCGAGAGGTGGTCACTGCCCCAGGTTACATCCACAGTTTGGAGTTTAAGAGCCAGAAATACTTGAGTGTGTGACTATGAGGAGTTTGGTTTTTTAAAATATATATTTTTTATTGATTTTTTTACAGAGAGGAAGGGAGAGGGATAGTTAGAAACATCAATGAGAAACATCGATCAGCTGCCTCCTGCACACCCCCTAATGGGGATGTGCCTGCAACCGAGGTACATGCCCTTGACTGGAATCGAACCTGGGACTTTTCAGTCCTCAGGCCGACGCTCTATCAGCTGAGCCAAACCGGTTTCGGTGGGACTATGGGGAGTTTTAAAATGCCATGCACATGTTAGCGAGAAATGGCAACTACTCCATACCATAGGCCAACGCAGGGTCCTGAGACCCCTTGCTCCACCACATTCTCTTCCTGGGAAGCGCTTTGCCGTTTAAAGATATTTCATTAATTAGATCAAAAGCAGAAGCAACCTCCCAGCCAGAAGCGGGTCATGGCCGAGAAGTGCAGGGGACACCGGGTGCAGGACAAGCCCCCGAGCTCGCTCTGAAGGTGGCCTGCCCCGGCCAGCCCAGCCGCGAGCCGCCTGGCCGAGGACAGGGCCAAACCTAGCGCAGCGGCACCGCGGCCTGCAGGGGGCGCCCGGACGGAACGCGTGGCCCCGCCCCGTCACGTGCGCGCGGCGTCACGTAACACCCGGAAGCAGCGGCGGGAGCGGGGCCGGCAGCGATGAGCGGGGACGTGGGGCCGGTGTCCGCAGCGCCCCATCGCGGGGAGATCGAGCCGGGCAGCGGGGTCCGCATCGTGGTGGAGTACTGGTGAGCGGCGCCGGCGGGCGGTTCCGGCCGGAGGGGGGCGGGTCCACGGGCGGTCCGTACCCCGAAACCCAAGCGAACGCCGGTATGGTCGGTCTCCCCATAGTGAACCCTGCGGCTTTGAGGCGACCTACCTGGAGCTGGCGAGCGCCGTGAAGGAGCAGTACCCCGGCATCGAGATCGAGTCGCGCCTGGGGGGCACAGGTGAGGCCGCGGAGCACCCGCCGAGTCAGGGCTCTGAGGCCCCGCGACACCGCTCTGTCCCTGGCGGCGGCTGTTCCGTGCCCACCAGCACCGGGCACCTGAGTGCAATGTCCTGACAACCTGACCCCCCTTCCGTAGTGGGTGAGACTGTGAAAGGGAAAACCGGGGAGACTGTGAAAGTACAGTTTTGGACGGAACCCTTCATGTTCCAAGAAGGGGCACCCTTGGGACGCCTCCTGTGGGTCCCTTTGGCTTGACACCCAGGGTTGGGAAGTGGCTTGAAGAGCTACAGGTCTCCAGAGGGACATGCCGAGAGGACGCGAAAGCCTGTGCGAAGTCTGAGTGTGCAGGACCGCCTGACCTTTGCCCTGTCCCCTGCCTATCGTTCATTCGCTGGTTTGTTTCATGCCAGGGGCCTTTGAGATCGAGATCAATGGACAGCTGGTGTTCTCCAAGCTGGAGAATGGGGGCTTCCCTTACGAGAAGGATGTGAGTATCTGCCATGTTGGAAGTGCCCCCGTGTCACCATGCCCCCACAGCCCATCATCCGGTTCCCTCTCTCTGCCCTCCAGCTCATCGAGGCCATCCGAAGGGCCAGCAACGGAGAACCGCTAGAAAAGATCACCAACAGCCGTCCTCCCTGCGTCATCCTGTGACTCCATGGGATTCCAGGTTCCTGTTGCATTCTGGGATACAAGCCTCGGTCTCCCCTTTGGTCCTGCTGAGAGTCCAGACCCTGCTGCCTCTTTCCCCTCACGTAGACTCCAGGTAGCTGAGACCCTGGCCTCCACGTGGCCCCTTTGGGGACCAGGAGGGAATAAACTCCCGTTGGCCTGGAGGGTGGGAGAGCCTCTCCTTGTACCCCTTCCAGGGACCAGTGTCCACAAAAGCTTGCTCCCTGCTCCAGCCTCGCTCCATCTGCAAGAGGCCACTGTAGTTCTAATTTATTTTCTACTAGCCCCAGGCATTGTCAGCGATTGGCAATAAACTGGCACTACAAACACTTGTGCCAACTACTGTGTGTTACGTCCAGCCTGGGAGTGTGGGGGAGGAGCGGGTGGCTGTGCTGGGTGGGCGGGTGTTTGCTGACTCTGCGATCTCCTCTCATAGCCAAGGTGAGGAAAATGAGTGACACCGTGAACACTGCCTCTTCTCCTCCCTGCTCCCTCCTCCCCATCTCATTATGGTGGGTGGCCTTAGGGATTTGTGTTCTTCTCAGCAAGAACGATTCGGTTGGCAAAGGGCTCAGTATCCTCAACTCCCAGACCCCCCTCCACCCAGAAGCCAGGACGTTGGAAGGCGGCCTTCTCATTCAAGCTTCTTGAAGATGACTAGTCGCTCCCTCGGGAAAAGATGAGTTGAGTGTATGTTAGGCGGCAAGCAATAAGGGATGGCACCAGGCCTAGGCTGGTGCCCAGCTGTTTTCCAAAATGTATTTGCAGATGGAGAAAGTGGGTTTGGAGAAAGGACATCCCCAACCTGAGGGACCCCCCCTTCCCCACAATACCCTATCCCCCGTGTCCTTATTTTATCTTTTCTTTAAAAAAAAACCCACAAAAAAACATAAGTAAAAACAAAACAAAGAAAAAGAAAGCACTCTGTACAAGGATTAGCCCTGGGCACTGCTGCTGTCCCTCCTTCCGGGCAGCGCGAGGGCTCAGACAGTCTCTGGATGGGTAGTTCTTGCCCTCGACACTTCTTTCGGGCCTCTTCCCCTCCGAGGCCCCGCTCCCCGGAGTCCTCCAGTGCCAGGGGTGTGGAAGGAGAGAGCCAGGCTGGGCTGCTCTCAGGTGAGGAGATTGTGGCTGTGGCATCCATTGTCCGCTGCTGGGACAGGACTCCAGATTACTGAAGACACTTCGGATGCTGCCTCCTCTTCCAGCCAGGCTGAGCTCCTCTGAGCCACCCCGGAGTTGGAATAGGAAGGAAGGGGCCTGGCATGGCGGGCTCTGCTGATACGGTCTGAGGCCCTTTCCCCACCTGGTCCTGGCACAGCCGGAAGTCAGGCCTCCCCCGTCTCCCTGTGGGTTCAGCTGGGCCTGAGCAGACTCGGCCTTCTGCTCACACCGGCGCATCCAGGCCCAGGTACTCGGGGTTCTCTGCCGTCGGGGTCCCTTCAAAGGTGCTGGGCAGGGGGCCTCGCTCTGACGGGTCCTGGTCCCAGTAATAGAGGTTGTCAAAGGCCGGGCTGAAGGCGGGAGGGGGGTGGGGCTGAGGGGCAGCCCTGCCACGGGGTGCCAAGTACTCGGGGTTCTCCACAGCACCCCCAAAGGCAAAAACGTCTTTGACAACCCCGTTCCTCCCCGGGGACAGAGTCTTGGGTGAGAGCGTCTTGGGCCTTTCCAGAGTGGCACTGGCAGGTCGAGGCGGCGGCAGAGGGCCCTCGAGGGGGGAGGGGAGCTTCAGGCGAACCTCGGGCTGGTTCACGTACTCTGGAAGGGCGAGAGGGGGGGTTTGTGAGGGAAAGACACCCCTGTGTCCCGGCCACTGACACAGCCCCCACCTCCCCCACCTCCGGCCTGGACTCCATACCTGGCTGGGGACTGCAGGCCGCGGGGGCGACGTAGCCATCGGTCTCAGGGGGCAGGGGTAGCGTGGGGTCCTCACTGTACCGCTGGAGAGGGCTGGGGTCGTGGGGGGAGAGGCCCGGCAGCCCCTTGGCCGCCCCCATCCCCAAGTCGCTCTCGAACACATCGGAGCCCGCCCCCTCGGAGGGGGCCAGCGGAGACTTCGGGGGCTCCTCCTCGGGGGGCTCCAGCCCCAGTGTCAGGTCACCGCCACCGCCGCCACTCTGGGGACGAGAGAGGGTCACCATGGCGGAGTCATTCACAGGTCTGGGATGGAGACTATGGAGGTGACGGTCACAGGAAATAAATAGAGGTCCCTTTGGGGTGCGGCACAGCCACCGTGGGGGGAGCGGGGACGTGGGTTGGAAGGAGGCAGGAATCCTTAAGGGAAATGGGGTCTCCGTGAGAGGCGGTGGTTGGGGGTGGGGGTGTGGCCCATGAGGGTCAGGAGAGGTCACCACGCCCGCCGGGGCGTGGCCAAGGGCACTGACCCGGGTGGAGGAGCTGCGGTGCCTGCGGTGGGCGGTGCCCCCCGCCCCCGGGGCGGGGTCCGGGCAGAAGAAGCCTTGCTGGGGCACCAGGTACTCCTCCGCGTCCACCAGGTCCCCCATGTCCTCGTCCTCCAGCAGCGACCGGTAGAAGGTGCTGTCCAGGGGGCTGGTGGGGCCCAGGTCCTCGTTCTGGGGAGGAGGGAGACAGCGTGGTGGCCTCTCCCCAGCCCAGGGCGCGGGCCCCCGGGGAAGGCTCAGGGGGTGCCGGGCAGGAGGCACGCTGAGCCAGGCCAGGGGCCGGGCCGGGAGGCTGGGACCCCGGAGGCGGTGGACGGCCGGTACCTGGATGACCACGAAGCGCTGCGGGTCCCTGGCCATGCGGGAGAATTCGGCCACCAGCTCCCGGAACCGCGGCCGGCACTCCGAGTCGATCATCCAGCCTGGAGGGCGGGGAAGCCCAGCCGCTCAGCCCCCGTGGGTGCCAGTGTGCGGCCCCGCCCCCGCCCTCTCCGTGCTGGTCCAGTGATCCCAGCCCAAAGCTCTCAGGTGGCAGAGACGGGGTACCAGCAACTCTGAGACTCTGTACGTTTGTCCTTTTCATTTTGCATCTAAGCCTCTTTCTAGCTGGAGCGTCCCCGGACTGGACTGTGAAGGGAAGGGGACCCCATGGGGGTTCCTGTAACCTGCGGGGCCTCTGGGCCACATGCATTCTGTCTTGGCCTCCCCTTCCCTGTTCCTGGTACAGCCTCTACCCAGAACCCCCCCACCGGCCTCCAGGCAGCCGCACAGCCCCGCACGCCACGCACATTTGACCATGATCATGTAGACGTCGATGGTGCAGATGGGCGGCTGGGGCAGCCGCTCGCCCTTCTCCAGCAGGTCAGGGATCTCCCGGGCCGGGATCCCGTCGTAAGGTTTGGCCCCAAACGTCATCAGCTCCCACACGGTCACACCTGGGGCAGAGACGGGCAGCAGGAGGAGCTTTAGCATCCGAGTCCCATAGGCTTCTGCCCAGGAGCCTGGCACCCTGGGGCAGGAGCCGGAGGGCAGGAGCCACCTTCAGTCCTTCCCCAGCCCCTGGGGCACGCACAGCCCCTCGCAGGTGGAAGCACCGCGGTCCTCCCTCCCGACCCACATTTATGCCGACGCGTCTCCATTCATCCTCATCCTTCCACCAGCATCCCACCGCGGACAGGACCGTGGCTCCCGTCACCCCACCCCGTGCGGCCCACCACGCACCGTAGCTCCACACGTCACTCTGGTGGGTGAACCGTCGGCGGAGGATGGACTCCAGCGCCATCCACTTGATGGGCACCTGGGAGAGGAGAGAAGTCCTTGAATTAGGTGTGTCACTGGGGGGAGGGGGGTCATTCTCAGGGTGCAGCCGGGGCCCAGACCCCACCCCACCTTGCCCCCATCCGCGTGGTACTCCGTCTCGTCGATGTCCAGCAGCCGCGCCAGCCCGAAGTCCGTGATCTTGACGTGGTTGGGGCTCTTGACCAGCACGTTCCGGGCAGCCAGGTCCCTGTGCACGAGCCGCACGTCCTCCAGGTAGCTCATCCCCTGGGGTCGGAGGCATCAGCATCTTTGCTGACCGGGCGCCAGCCACGCTCTCCCAGGAGACCGCTCCCTCCCGGCCCTGCGAGGGCAGGCTTGCTCTCGGGGCGCCCAGACCCCCGGCGCCTACCTTGGCGATCTGCACACACCAGTTGAGCAGGTCCTGGGAGCCCAGGCGCCCGCGGTGCTCCCGGACGTGGTCCAGGAGGCAGCCGTAGGGCATGAGCTGGGTCACCAGCTGCACGGTGGAGGTCAGGCAGATGCCCAGGAGGCGGGACACGTACGGGGAGCCCACACCAGCCATCACATACGCTTCCTGGGGGCACAGGGGCACGCTGAGGGGGTGTGGGGGACCACACACCCCAACCACCATGCACCCCAGCCACCACGCGCCCCTCCCGAGGGCCAAGGAGTGACTGGGGGCCCCCACCCCATCTGACACCAACCAGAGCCACAGCCCGCAGAATGGGGGGGAGGGGGAGCATCCAGGTTTGGGGGTCACGCACGTGTCTCCTTAAACCCCAGGGAAGAGGGAGCCCAGAGGCCAGGCCCGCAACCAGGGCCCGTCCCGCACTCCCGGCTGGCGAGGGCGGAGGGACCTACGTCCAGGATCTCTTTGTTGGCTTTGGGAGACGTGTTTTCCCTCAAAACTTTGATGGCCACTGGGATCTTCACATTCTCCCCGTCAGGGATCCAGATGCCCTGGGCGGGAAGAGGGGGATGTGAGCAGGAAACAGCGTGTCCAAGGAGGTCCTTCCTGTGTTTCCCCTCCCCTAGGCCAACCGCACAACTCAGCAACAACCTCAGTACTTAGCCCCGCTCACCAATCCCTTCCCCTGTTCCAGCCTCTGTAACTGCCCTACCAAACATCCCCGCCCCCAGCTCAGACCCCTTGCCGCCCCCCCCTACCCCCCCCCCCCCCCCGCCCATGCACCCTCTGGGACCGGCCAGCTTTGGCCCCGCCCCCCCAGCTTTGGCCCCGCCCCTGACCTTGTAGACGGTGCCAAAAGCTCCAGATCCAAGCACCTTCACCTTCCTCAGCTCCGTCTCCTTGAGGATCCGCATCTGAGCCTGGTTGGGCATCGCTCCGCTGGGGGTCAGCGGCTCCACCAGCTGGGGGGGGGGGGGGTGACCCTGTCAGTGCCTGGGGGGGCTGGGCTGCCTGGGGGGGCTGGGCCGCAGACCCCAGGCAGGCGGGGGGGGGGGGGGGGGTCACCTCTGTCTCCTGCAGCAGCCTCCGCATCGTGTACTTGCGAATCTTCTGCCGCCGCCTCCTGATTAGGACACCGGTGACCACGGCTATGACCATGAACAGCAGCATGCCCACCACCGTGGCAATGACGGACGTAACAGGGCTGCGGAGGGGGGCCGAGGTCAGGGATGGGGGAGCAGCCTGGGGCAGAAGGGCTGAAGGGGCCCATGGAGGCGCATGGTCACTGGGGTTTGGAGAGGGAATTTGGGGGGGTGACCCACAGACCTCTACCCTCTCTTCCCCTTGGCTCCCTACTGCCTCCAGGACCAAGTCCAAACTCCTAGCTAGCGATTCAAAGCGCTCACCACCCACCTCTCCAAACTGTCTATGCCAGCGGTCGGCAAACTCATCCGTCAACAGAGCCAAATATCAACAGTACGACGATTGAAATTTCTTTGGAGAGCCAAATTTTTTAAACTTAAACTTCTTCTAACGCCACTTCTTCAACACAGGCTCGCCCAGGCCGCGGTGTTTTGTGGAAGAGCCACACTCAAGGGGCCAAAGAGCCGCCTGTGGCTCTCGAGCCGCAGTTTGCTGACCACCGGTCTATGCTGTTGCTCCTGGCTTAGCCCAGGATTCTCAAACTTCCCGACAAAAACCAGCAAGGAGCCTGTTAGAAGGCACACGCCTGGAGCCCCACCCCCAGATGCTGACTGTGGGAACGGGGTGCGGCCCAGGAATGTGCACCGGGGATTCTGATGTTCCCGCCACATTTCTCACCCACAGGCCACGGCTCCCGACTCCCACCTGTGCCCACGCTCTCCCTCTGCCCGGACCCCCTTCTCTGTGGGACCGACCGCCTGTCAGACTCAGCCGGAGCAGCGGGCACTCCTGGGCGCTGCCCCGCCTCACTGCCCTCCTGCCCCCTCCCCTGCTTGGCCAGGGGCTGGCATTGCTTCCAGGCGTCCTCAAACTTTTTAAAGTGGGGGCCAGATCACAGCCCCTCAGAGAGCTGGAGGGCCGGACTATATGAACTACTAATTCCTACTGTAACACCTCGGCTGCGCTCACTGCCCAAAAAACCTGGCGGGCCGGATCAGACTCCTCTGCGGGCCGCATGTGGCCCGAGGGCCGTAGTTTGAAGACGCCTGCTTCAGACAAACGACTGCCTAGGACACACGCCGACCTTGTTCTCCCCAAAGCCCTTCCCCCAGCTCCCCACTGCGGCCTGCTGGCGAGGGAGGGCCCCTGCCCCTGCCCTCCAGATCCAGCCGAGCCTGACTCACTCCCTGTGCTGTGTCCCTGCTTGGTGCTGACTAACAGTCACCACGCCAGAACCTTCCAGGAAGCACAGCCGAGGCTTTTCCGACACTTTCCCCGCGAGCCACGTGGCTGCTTTCCCCGAGGCAGGTGACGCACCTGCCCCTCTCGGCCTGGCTCCCAGGCCTGCGTCCACCCCTCCTCCTCCTCAGCTGCCCTCTCTCTCATCTACCTGGGGTCCCCGGTCCCTGAGGAGAAGTCCAGCTGCTCAGGGGTGGGAGGTACCCGGAATCTGCCATCTTTTCCTGTTTCTCAGGCCACAAGCAACCTGAGCAGGTCCTCCACCCACCGGCTGACACCAATCGGAAGGAGGATCCGCAGGGGAAGAGGGGGCAGGGAAGGGTCATGGGTCATGTCAGGAGCTCCCCCACTTCAGCAGTGACCACCCAGGGGCCGGTGGGGACTGGGGAGCAGCAAGGGGCGTGTCCCGGGGACCAGGCTGACCTGGCTCTCTGCTCGGCGGGGCAGCCCTTCTCGTCCAGGTCCACGCAGCTGCAGGAGAGAGAGACCGTCAACGAGCTGGGCGCCACCTCCTGGGCTCCCCCAGCTCCCAGCAACCCCGGGGGGAGGTGTGGCTGCGGGGTCACCCCCGTTTGACAGAGCCAGAAACGGGGCTCAAGGTCATCAGTGATCCTCCTACACCCCACAAGGGGTCTCTTCCAGCCCGGAGCCCCCTGCCCCTGTCCCCCTGCACCTCCTGCGGTGTGTCCTGTGGGGGCCGCCAAAGGACACTGAGTCCCCAAGCTCAGCCACCCCCTCCCCGAAAGGCTGTGAACCGGCACACTTCTGCGGAGGGCAGTCGGCGGCACCTGTGCACGAACTCTGTGTCACAGCAGTCCTCCCCCTCCCCCCCAGCTCAGGGTGTCCCCTAAAGATGCCAACACGGGGGGGCATGCCCAAGGTGTTCACTCCCGTGCAATCAACTGCCCAAAAACAAAAGTAAAAATAAAAGGCCCTGGCCGGGTAACGCGGTTGTTCAGAGTATCATCCCAAGACACCAAGGTTGTACGTTTTATTCCCATCAGGGCACAGGCAAGAAGCAACCACTGCGTGCATAAGTCAGTGATGCAACTACATGGATATTTCTCTCTCTCTCTCTCTCTCTCTCTCTCTCTCTCTCTCTCTCTCCCCCCTTTCCTTTCTCTCTCTAGAAAACAATCAATCAATCAAATCCTAAAAATAAAAAAGCCTAATCAATATCCCTCAAGCAGGGACATGGTTAAATGACTCTACATCCACGCTATCGCTCGAGCAGTTCACAAGAGGAGGCAGGTCGTGTGCGGTCACAGGAGAGCCTTCCAGGGCACACAGAGCGGGTGGTGGGAGGGCAGGGCAGTATCCTAAGGCTGACCCCGTTCACAGTAAGAAGTGTGCACACACAAAAGCCCAAACTGGTTGTATGGGAGTTGAAATTGCTGTTTCTTGAGCATCTTTGACCTACAAAAACAGCAATCTTGTATGACTCAGCCCAGCATGTTTATGTGACCGTGCAGAGAAAGCCTGCAGGAGGCACGCCCCCGGTGGATCTGGGGGTTCTCCCCAGGGAGGGGGAGAGGGGCAGGGACCGAAAGGGCACGTTCGCTTTGCAGTGTTTGTGCTTCTGAATTGCTGAAAATGTGTCACAAGGAGGCATTCACGTATTTCATGTGTAATTAAAGACAGCTTTGGGGAGGGGGGAGAATAGGGTAGATCTCCGTGTTTGGACATGAAAAAACATTGCAAGATTTTGTCAAGTGAAGAAAAGCCATTTGCAAACAATATGTATGATGCATGGTCTACGAAACCGCTTCGGTAAAAAAAAAAAAAAGCCCTAGCTGGTTTGGCTTAGTACAGTGGTTGGCAAACCGCGGCTCGTGAGCCACATGCGGCTCTTTGGCCCTTTGAGTATGGCTCTTCCACAAAATACCACGACTTAGGTGAGCCTATTTAGAAGAAGTTTAAGTTTAAAAAATTTGGCTCTCGCTGAAACCGGTTTGGCTCAATGGATAGAGCGTCGGCTTGGGGACTGAAGGGTCCCGGGTTCGATTCCAGCCAAGGGCATGTACCTTGGTTGCGGGCATATTCCCAATAGGGGTGTGCAAGAGGCAGCTGATTGATGACTCTCTCTCATAGATGTTTCTAACTCTCTCTCTCCCTTCCTCTCTGTACAAAATCAATAAAATATATTTTTTTAAAAATTTGGCTCTCAAAAGAAATGTCCATTGTTGTCCTGTTGATATTTTGGCTCTGTTGACTAAGGAGTTTGCTGACCACTGGCTCAGTGGATAGAGCCTCAGGGCACAGGGTCCCGGGTTTGATTCTAGTCAAGGGCACAGGCCTGGGTTGATGCAGGAGGCAGCCAATCAATGATTCTCTCTCATCATTGGTGCTTCTATGTCTCTCTCCCCTCTCTCTTCCTCTCTGAAATGAATAAAAATATATTTAAAAAAAAATTTTTTATAAAAAATAGAGTACAGATAAAAACAACTGAAGAACAATAATACACACACACACACACACACATATATATATATGTTTTTATCTGTGCATTCTAACATGTTATAATAATATGTTAGAATGCACAGATAAAAACAACTGGAGAGTATAACATGTTAGAATAATATATATGTAAGCATGTACACAGATAAAAACTAGGGGAAACACTCACGTGATTAACAGTGAAGACAGAACTGCTAGCAGCACTAGTTTATGTTTCATAAAAATGTTTAGCATGTTACTGTTGTGATCAGACAGAAAGGGGGTGAAATGAAGCCTCAGGTTTCAGCAGAGCAGAGCTGTCCCGCAGAGGCTCCTGGGACAAAGCCCGCCTTTTTGCAGGAAAGCACGCTCAGACTCACGAGTGGGTGCAGTTGATGGGGCACGGCTGGCAGGTGCCCTCCTCATCGGGGAACTTCCAGATGGGCATGAGGGAGAGGTCGGGCTTCACGCCACTGGGGCACCGCGCCACGCAGAAGGGCGAGTCCTTGTAGTGAGCGCAGGCCATGCACTGGTCAGCCTCCTGGGAAGACAGGGGGTCTATGAGGGGCTGGTGTAGGGTGAGGCGCCCGAGTCTCCTTCCAGCTTCTGACAGCCACTCAGCAGCACTGGGCCAGCCTCCACCCGCTGTGTCTACTGCCCCTGCTCTTCACCCGGTCCGCCCGCCCCACCCTCACCCGCACCCCACTCCCCACCCTGCTTCAAAGCTCGATCCCTGAGCTGCAGGCTTCACATGAGGAACTGGAAGAGCCAAGGAAGGGAATTCACTAAGGCCGTGGTCAGCAAACGGCGGCTCGCGAGCCACATGCGGCTCTTTGGCCCCTTTTGAGTGTGGCTCTTCCACAAAATACCACGGCCTGGGCGAGTCTATGTTGAAGAAGCGGCATTAAAAGAAGTTTAAGTTTTAAAAATTAGGCTCTCGAAAGAAATTTCAAACGTTGCACTGTGGATATTTGGCTCTGTGGACGAATGAGTTTGCCGACCACGGGTCTAAGGTGTAACAGCAAGCAGCAACAGTAACGAACATGTAGACAGCCTTTCCCGGGCTCAGGCACCGTGCAAACCCACCTTCCATCGATTCTCCCTCTGCCCTAAGCAAACAGGCACTGGGATGGCGCTCGCTGTGCCGGGGAGGCTGGAAGGAGGGCCTGCATGTGGATCCCGGTGGTCCGAGGCCTCAGCCCACAGGCTAACCAGCCACCCTGGCCCAGCCACAGCCAAGAGCACAGGCTTCCGTCCGGCCAGCGTGCTCAGTGGTTGAGCATCGACCTAGGAGGTCACAGCTCGATTGCCAGTCAGAGCACAGGCCGGGATTTGGGCTTGATCCCCAGTGCAGGACATGCAGGAAGCGGCCAATGAGTGATTCTCCCTCATCACTGATGTTTCTCTCTCTCCCGGTTCCCTTCTCCTCAGAAGTCAATAGAAATATTTTAAAAAGAATGCAGGCTTCCCCGGGATCTCTGCACAGTTTGAAGGGTCTCAGGGTCCATCACCCAGCTCAGTCCCCAGCATGGAGTCTCCTTCCACCCTCCTGCTGTTCCACCTCCCACTGTTCCACCCCACTTCCACACCCTGCTGGTCCACACCCTGCTGTTCCACCTCCTGCCGGTCCACCCCCTGCCATTCAGGCCTGAGCTCAGGCTCTCTCCGCAGATGTCTCTCCACACTTGGCCAGGTCCCTGGCAGTCTGCCCAAACCCTTGCTTCCCTCCACCCGGCTCTGAGCCCACCAGGACCTCACCGATCCTACGCAGGTCGCTGAGCCATTCTGGGGCTGGCACTCAGGGTGGCAAGGCAGACAGTACCTGTCCTTCACGTACTCCCTGGGGAGCCTGGGGGAGAGGGATGTGGGTGAGGGGGTCTGGAAGGAGCTCCTGTGCACCCTCCCCCCACCCCACCCCCCCCGCTCTGCCCCGCATACCCCTGCAGGACTCGGCACTCCTCCACGCACCCCTGGCCCCGGAGGAACTGGCTGCAGTTGACGCACTGGGTGGGCCCCGGGCCCCAGCAGTGCCCGTGGGCGCACAGCGGGTAGCAGGCCTGGCCCTCACCCACTGCAGTGAGAGGGGGGAGTCAGAGGGGACTCCTAGGGAGGCTCAGGTCCAGGGGAGGCAGGGAAAGAGGCTGTGGGGTGGCTCTGGGTGGGAGGGGTGGGGTGGGGCCTGGGCGATGCGGGGAGAGGGAAGAGCTCTGAGGTCCCAGGAACAGGGTGGGGACTCAGCTAGAGTGAGGCAGGACTCAGCTAGAAGCCATGCCAAGGTGTCAAGCCGGCCAGAGCTGTGTCAGGGTGGCGCCCCAGGGCGGGCAGTCTGCACGAGTCCCAGAGGGCTGCCAGGAGGACCCACGGGCACTGCGCGCTGGCAGACGGGGAGCGGGCAGCACTGGGCGCCCCGTCTTACCGCACTCGGCCTCCGGCCGGTTGGCGCTGTGGAGCAGGGCCTGGTGAGGGTTCCGGAAGAGCTGCTCCCAGGGCACCGTGTGCACAAAGCAGAGGTGGGCATTGCGGTGGACGAGGGCCAGCCCGCTGCCCAGCTCCCGCAGCGAGCGCAGCCCCAGCCATCGGATGCCCAGGCCTTGCAGGGTCAGCGAGTAGGCGCCGCTGGGGGAGAGGCGAGCTCAGCTGCAGGTGGGCAGCGCGTCCCTGACCCCTCCCCGCCGGCAAGGGCTGCCCTCACCGCTGTCCCCATAGACAGGCTGCCCCAGGAGCCCCTGGGCAACCGGAGGCCCCCGTGCCCACATGTCTCCCAGCTCCCCCTGTAGTCCTCCCCCCGGGTGCTCACTCGTGCAGGACGCGACCCCGGATCACTTGCAGGTTCTGGAAGACGCTGAGGTCAGGCATGCTGTCCGGCCACGCCGAGATGTACAGGTAACCTGCAGGCGCAGGGGGAGGCTAGGGTGTAGGGACAGGACGATGACCCCCCCCCCCAGCCTCTTCCCAGCAAGCTGCGTGTGGCAGAGCCCACCTGTGATCTCCTCCAAGGTCTCGAACACTCTGAGCTGCTTGGGCTCCAGGGGGGCGGTGTTGGAGGCGGGGTCCCTAGGAGAAAGATGAAGGAGTGAGCAGGGCCAGGAGGGCGGGAGCACAGCCCCCTGGGGCGGCCCCGCCGCCCTCCCACCCTCCCCTCTATTAATAACCGCACTTAAACCCTCTGCTCAGCCCGGCTGTTCCCGGGCCCCATCAAAACAGTATTTATGTCCTTTGATCTAGAAATTCTGCTTCTAGGAATGCGGCCTGGAGGGATACTGGCCCTGAGGCACGTACAAGGCAGAGCTGTCTGTAAGAGCAAAAATTGGAAAGGACCTAAGCAGCCATCGGTCCATAGGGGAGCTGGCAAATACACCCCTGATCTCTCCAGGCTCCAGGCAAAAAAGCTGGCCTCCAGGAGCACTCCCTCCGTGTGCGCCAGGCACTGCTCTGAGAGCTGAGGCATATGAACTCGTTCAAACTTTACAAGCACTTTATGAGGTTGGAACTACCTGCGCCCCCATTTTAAAGATGAGGAAACTAAGGCACAGCAAGGTCACATGGACTGTTCAAACCCAGGCAGTCTGGCTCCCAGGCCTGGGCCCTTAGCTGCCAGCTGCTCCACAGCTCTTGAAAGAATGAGGCAGAATTGCAGAAACCGGGTTTGGCTCAGTGCCTAGAGCGTTGGCCTGTGGACTGAAAGGTCCCAGGTTCGATTCCAGTCAAGGGCATGTACCTTAGTTGCGGGCACATCCCCAGTAGGGGGTGTGCAGGAGGCAGCTGATTGATGTTTCTCTCTCATTGATGTTTCTAGTTTCTCTATCCCTCTCCCTTCCTCTCTGTAAAAATAAATAAAATATATATTAAAAAAAAAAAAAAAAGAATGAGGCAGAACCTTCACCACCAGCCCCCAAAAGGAAGGAGCAGACAATGCCCAAGGATTGCTCCAGCTCCATTTTAACACTGTTCGGATTGCTAGCACCAGGTGGTCTGGCCGGTCTGCAGCTTCACAGACAGAGAACCACACAGTGTGGGCTGTCTTGTCTGCCTAACTTCCCTTACAATAATGTTCTTGAGAGCATGTATGTAATCAATGTGTTTCTTTCTGTTGCTGAGGACTTCACTGTACAGACAGACCACCATCTATTTGTTCACCTCCTGATACACAAAAGTGTTATTTCCAGTTTGGGGCTATTAGGAGATAAAGCTGCTATGAAGTCAGGGAGAATGTAGCTTGGCCTGGACGGCCTGACCGCCACACAAGTGCACGTTCACGGATAACATGCCATTTGTGGAAATAACACCCCTCCCAGGAGTCCCCACGCCCTCAGAATCCCAGGCCCCCACCTGTCTCCTGCCCCCCTCCCCCACCAGACGCTGCCGCCTCTGGGTCCTCGGGAATCCGTGACTGCCCCATACTGTCTCCAACCACTGTGCCCGCCTTAATCGAATCGGCGTACGCGTACCCCTCAAAGCTCTCTGGCAGAAACGCCAGGCTCCCGAAGATCTTCTTGCAGCCAGCGAACTCCTGGATGTTGGCGCTGGTGACTGCCCTCGCCTCCCGCAGGTGCTCCATGCCCAGCCCGTAGCACACTGTGGGAGTGGGCAGGTGAGGACCACTCAGCTCCGGCCACGGGACTGACCGGCCACGGGACTGACCGGCCACGGGACTGACCAGCCACCCCCCCACCCCCCGCCATGCAGCACCAGGAACTCAGACTCCTGGGTCCTGCCCACAGTCCCCTCTTAGGGCCACATGCCCTCTCCCCACACCAGCAAGATATGGGGGAGCCTGTGGGACTGACCTGGGGGGTGGGGAGCGGGCAGAGACGGTGGGAGACAAGGACTGAGTCCCAGGAGGGACTGGGGGGACAGCGGGCGAGGCCAGGCGGGGTGCGCCGAGGGCCCGGACCGCAGCAGGTTTGGGGGGCGGTGGGTACCTCGGGCACAGGGCTTGCTGCACTTCTCACACCGCTGGGTTCCGTCCTCGGCGGTCACCTCCTGGTTGTTCAGGGGACAGACCAGGGTGCAGGAGCCCACGTCCGTTGACAGGTAGTTGTCTGAGGAGACCAGGATCGTGTGTCCCTGTGCCCCGGCCCCTCACACCCCACCCTGAGCAGCGTCCCCGAGCCCGGGGAGCACAACACGAGTGAATCAACCGGGACCGAGAGGCCCCGGACAGGTCTGAGCATCTACCACTCACGTGCTCCGCCCAACACACCCGGACGGCAGACGCCGTGAGAGTCCCGCTTTGCCAAAAGGGAAACCAAAGCTCGATTTTATGTAAATGACTCAGGGCCGTTGTGCTGGTGAGTGGCCGGGCCAGTCTTTGCATTCGTTCAAACTTTATAGCCACCTTAGGAGGTGGGGGCTGTTATTGCACCGTTTTAGAGACGAGGACACTGAGACACAGTAGGGTCACATGACCAGGAAGTGGTCTGGCTCCCAAGACGGAGCTCTTAGCTTCTGCCCTCTCTGCCGCTCCGCAGCTGCCGGAGGCCCGAGGGGCTCCCAACAGGCTCCCATCTACATGATCCAACCTCCCCGGCCTCTCCACGGCACTCACAGGGACAGGTGGTCACGCAGCTGGCACCAAAGGTGTAGCGGCCCTCGGGGTTGGGCATGGACTCGAAGGTGTCGGTGTTGTAGGTGACCAGCGCCGGGCAGTGCAGCTCACAGATGCCGCTGTGGTTGAAGTGGAGGCAGGCCTGGGGGGACAGGCGGCTGGTGGTCACCGGGCTGCCTTCCCTGACGTGCCAGGGGCAGCAGGGCAGCACCAGGCAGGGTGCCCCTCCCCCAGCTCCCCGAGGGGTGGGGCCCAGCGGGCACATACCAGGCAGTCAGAGTGCTTGGGGCCGGTGCAGCCGGCAGCGCACTGCTCGTGGCAGCAGTCGGTGGGCAGGGAGCCCTTGCAGCGGGCACAGCCGCTGGCACACAGGGTTCGAGTCACTGTCGGGCAGAGGGCAGGGTGAGGGCTGGGCGGCCACCTGGGCGCCAGACCCTCACCGGCATCACCTTCTGGGGGGAGTCCCTGCCCCAGGGAACCCACCCACCCGCCCCCAGGCCCGGCCTCCCGGAGACTCACGGGTCTGACAGTCCCGGGAACTCTCTCCCCAGCAGTGGGGATGGGTACAGGATGGAGAACAGGGTTTACCTGGGGAGAGAACAGAGAGGCAGTGAGACCGAGACCAGGAGGCGGCAGGCACAGAGGGTGAGTCCCAAGAGAGCAAAGGGGACTCCAAAAGTTGAGACACAATCGCGAAACAGGAGGCCCTGGCCAGGGAGCTCGGAAGGTGAAAGCTTCCAAAATGCCAAGGTTTCGGGTTCAATTCCCAGTCAGGTCTCGACCCACAGGAGGCAGCTGATGGATGATTCTCTTTCATCATTGATGTTTCTCTCTCTCTCCCTCTCTCTCCCTCTCCCTTCCTCTCTCTGAAATCAATAGAAGTATATATATATTTTTTAAATCAATAAATATGCCCTAACTGGTTTGGCTCAGTGGATAGAGCGTTGGCCTGCGGACTCAAGGGTCCCAGGTTCAATTCCAGACAAGAGCATGTACCTTGGTTGCGGGCACATCCCCTGTAGGGGGTGTGCAGGAGGCAGCTGATCGATGTTTCTCTCTCATCGATGTTTCTACCTCTCTATCCCTCTCCCTTCCTCTCTGTAAAAAATCAATAATATATATATATATATATATATATATATTAAAAATCAATAAATAAAAATTAAGAAGGAAAAAGAAGCAAAGGGAGACAGAGATGAAGAGATGGCAGGAGGCACCAAGAAAGAGGGTGGTGTCGGTGCAGGGCTGGGGTGTAACCCGGAGTTGGGGGCGGGGAGAGCGCTGAGGAAGAGGAGGCTGCAGGCAGGGAGGAGCGGCTTACAGGCCCGCGAGCGGTTGGTGTCGATCTGCATGAGGGCCAGCTGGTTGTTCTTGTGGAAGATGTCCTTCCACAGAACCGTGTCCTGGTGGCAGAGCTGTGGGTTCCGCTGGATCAAGACCCCTCCCTTCAGGATCTCTGTGGGACGGACAACAAGCTGTCTGTCAGCTTCTGCTCCCGCCCCAGCGTCCCCAGGGAACAGTGAGGACCCCCTCCGCATCTTTTAGCCCCACCAGGACCATCCCCGCCCCATCGCCCCCACAGACACAGCAAACCGAGGTCCGGGAGGAGGGGGGTGTCCGTGTCAGGGCCCAGATGCCCAGGGACGCTCCTCCTCCTCCCAGCTCTGCTCGGTGCTCGCTGTAAAAGGAGAGATGGTGGCGCCTGAAGCCCCGCCTCGGCACTAACTCGCTATGCCACCTCGAGCAGGTAAGTCCCGTATCCTCCGTGAACCTGTTCTCCCATCTGCAGAGGGAGCAGGCCATCTCCGCTCCCTGGCGAGGCGGCGGCCTGACTGAGATGGCATCAGTGCACGCACAGCCGCTGGCAGGCAGGGTTCGGGCCACTGTCAGCCCCGGGGCTCCCACACACAGTTGCACAGGTTGCTCCCCACGCGGGCCCTCAGCCGAGACGTGGGCAAAACCACCCAGCATCCTCGCTGTCAGCCTGCGTGGCCGGAACAAGCTGGGACTTTTTCTGTTCTTCACAAGGACACCTCCCCTAGGGGAGGCAGGTTCCTGGCCGGCAGGGGCCCCGGCCGGCTCTCCATCCGTCACCCGGCGATGTCAGGGGGAGGGGGACCACCTGTGAGGCTTCGCAGCTGCAGCTCCCGCAGCCCTCCCGGGGAGGCCCCGGCGTCGGGGCTGGCGCTGTCCGGCCGGGCTCCGTTGTCCAGCACGGCCAGGGCGTAGTTGTCCTCGAAGAGCTGGGTGCCGCGGATGATCCGCAGCCTCTGCAGCGGGACCTGGGTCACCTGGCTGTGAGCGATGAGCACGTAGCCCTGCACCTCCTGGATGTCCTGGGAGGACACGGGGGAGGTTGGGGTTGAGGCAGGCCGGGGTCCTGGCACACGGCCACCTCCAAGGCCTCCTTGGGGTTACCAAGTGCTCGGGGATCTTGGGCAAGGCCCCTATCCACTACTGAACAGTCCTGCTCTCTTCGTGTGTGAAATGGAAACCAAGGCCACGCCCCAAACCAGATTCCAGTACGATCAGGAAAGATAATGGGGTGGGGTGGGGTTGGGGAGGGGGGCCGGCATTCCGTAAGCCAGGAGCAGGTGCCCCGCCCTCTCTGCTTCTCAGTTTCTTCATCTATAAAAGGAAAGGCTCAGACGAGATGCCATCTGCGCACTGCATGCCTGACCCCACTCCAGGGCAGCGTGGAAAAGGCTCAGCAGGCTGGTTTCCACTGCCCTGCTCATGACCCTTGCACAGACATTCCCCATTTGATCTACAAAGAGGGGGAGTCAAAGCATGCCTATTGCTCCCAATATACAGATAAGAAAACTGAGACCCAGTGCAGACAAGAACCTAGGCCACATTCGCACGGTTTGTCAGTGGCAGAACTGGCCCTGGAACCCACATTTCCCACTACTCCGGGTGGGAGAGGGACAGTGGCTGGGCAGTTGGACAGGGGGAGGTGATCATGCCGGCAAGAGAGCAAGAATTTAGCAAAGGGCCTGGCCGGTGTTGCCCAGTGGTTGAGTGTTGACCTATGAACCAGGAGATCACAGTTCAATTCCTGGTCAGGGCACATGCCCAGGTTGCAGGCTTGATCCCCAGTGTGGGGTGTGCAGGAGGCAGCTGATCAATTATTCGCTTTCATCATTGATGCTTCTATCTCTCTGTCTCCCTCTCCCTTCCTCTCTGAAATTAATTAAAAAATATATATTTTTAAAAAGAATTTAGCAAAGGAACAGATGCGTTCCACCTAGAGATGCCCACGGCCAGCCACGTTACAGAGAAGGAATCAGCTGGTCTAGCGATGGAAGGGACAGGGGTTAGATAGCAGAAGGGACTTCCAGGTGAGGAACCACCCGCGAGGAAACAGAGGCCCAGCTGGAGGCAGGCTCTGGCTGGGCTGCCCTTGGTTCTCACCTGTAGGAAGAGGAGGCTGGCATTGCCAGGCAGGTAGGTGAGCTCCAGGTTACCCTGCACCACCTGGCAGCCCTGGTAGAGGTGGCGGAGCATGTCCAGGTGGGTCTCAGGACTAGCGGGGAGCCGCAGCTTCATGTCTGTGCCGGTGCACACTGGCGGGGGGAGGAGGCGGTCAGAGGGCCCTGTGCAGGGAGCTTCCCCACCCCGGCTGCCTCCTCCACACGCAGTCCCCCAGAGTCATGCCATCTTGGGCAAGGACCCCTCCCCATGTCCCCTGCACCTGCAGAAGGTGCAACAGCAAAAGAAAGTTTGCAAGTTTGGGAAGAGGGGGGACCTCAGGGGAGAGGCTCCATCTGACTCAGCCCATTCTGAGCATCGAGGGCGCTGCTGTGTAAGCCTCAGGGAGCTTGCCCGCCCGATCCAGGGGGCTGTGTGCAAAGAAAGCCTCTTTGTCCCATAGCCACGACTCGGGGCCAAAGGGTAAGAAATCCCCCAACGGAGGTGCTGATGAATCATGAGCGCTCTGGATACCCCCTGTCTCTCCCCCAAGCCAGCCAACTCCGGGTATTCTCCCCGGCCCATTCCAATGCCACCCACGTGCCAGCCTCCTGGCAAGAGATACCCACCCCCACAATGCCACCCAGAAAGTGGGGAAGGAGGGTCAGCGGGAGTCATAGCGGGGGCATGGAGACCACCGGCGGCCTGGCCCCCGAGGGGACCTCTAGAATTCCCCCAGGCAGAGGCGGGCGCATCAGACCCCATCAATGGGCATCGGACCCAGGCTGCGGATCCCGGGCCAGAAGGATGCTACTCGGAAGGCTCCTCCTCCGGTACCTCACCCTTGCCACCTCCTCGGGGCAAGACTCCAGAAGCAGCTGGCACAATCTGTGCCACGAAACTCCTGCCACAAGAGCACTACGTCAGCCCTGTGTGCCTGCCCGGGGCCAACTACCAGCCAAGGGGCATCACGACGAACCAGCACCGGGCCTACCTGGACCCCCGCTGGCGCCCCTGAAACCAGAAATGCCCGCGGAGCCCAGAAACACAGGAGGGGTCCACTCCCCCTGCTGAGGGGACGCTGGGGGCAGCCGCTGGCACCGTGCCTGCCAGCAGGGGGGAGATTAAACTGTCCAGTTGAACTTGTTTTTCTGCTCCGGCAAGAAGATGAATCACCTGGTGCGTCTTGCCCAGGAGGGTGTGCCAGGGGGGAGTGGGCGGAGGGCACCCCCAGGTACACAGGCCCACAGGTGCCTGAGCTGCCGGGAATTCCTGCTGGTCCCCATCCACTTCCTACAGGCTACGTGCGGACTCAGGGGACCCGCAGGGTGGTTGCCCTCGAGGCCCGACCCCAGGGCTCCTGCTCTCCCATCCACTGGGAGCTGGAGGCCAAATCCCGAAAGGGGGGGCGGTAATAATAGCCCTGGCCTCCAGGAAGCCGGGCAAAAGCTTGTGGGGCGAGCCCCACCCTGCCCCCCATTGCTTCCTCAGCCTCCCAGGACTATCCAGAGTGCTCTCTGTTCCCAGCCCTGGGGCAGAGGGAAGAAAGCGAGCAGAGAGGAAGGGGAGGCCCAGAAATAGAACCAAGGGTCCCTCCCCCTCCAGCTCCCAAAAGAAACAGGAGCGGGTGGCAGGCCAGGCCCAAAATAATGCCCGCTGCCTGGACCTCCCCCAGCCTCCGCAGCTTCAGCTGCTGGGTGGTCACAGCTGTCTCCAGGCCCAGACCCCAGGCCCCGGCCCAAGCCTGGGACAGGGACCAGCAGCGCTGGGCCAGGGGCCGTCTGCACACACACACACACACACACACACACACACACACACCCCGCAGCCCAAGGCGGCTTCCAAAGGACACCAGCTGTGGCAGCCAGGCAATAGAAAAACAACAACAATGGAACAGCGGGGACAGCTGCAGCAGCTGAGGGCCTACTGTGTGCTCGGCAGGCACTCTGGTGGGAGCTTCATAACATCCTACAGAGACTGGGGCTGAGACCTCTGCTTTGCAGAGAAGGAAACTGAGGCGGACGGGGGTTATTCTCCCCGCACAATTCTACCGATGCCCTGAAAACACTGCAGGTGCCAGGCAGGGCAGAGCTGCTGGGCTGGGCAGGAGCAGAAAGAGCAGTAGCCCCACCCCACTAGTGAATTTGTTTGTGGCTCATTTGAGGCCGATTAAGACTTTCTAAGTGTTGGCAGCAGGCGGTAAACTTGGTGCCCTGAGACCCACTCCCAGGGAGTGGGAAGCCTGAGTGCGAATCCTCGCACGCACACGCCACCCTGACATAAGCCAAGAAGGCCTCCTAGAACTTTCCTTACTGCCCCCTCCTGCCCCTTCACCAGGACCTTCCTCCTCTCCTCCTCCTCATCACTCACCAGCTCCCCACTCCTCCATCCCCGCCTTCAGCCCCCGTGGATTTTCTTGGGAGAGGGGGAGGAGGTCCTGTTCCATACACCTGCCCCTTACGAGCCACAAATAGGGCAGGGCACACAGTGAGCACAGTGTTTGCTGGATGGATGGATGGATGGATGGATGGTGGAGGGAGAGATGGATAGATGAGTGGGTGGTTGGGTGGATGGATGGATGGATTGATGGAAGGATTGGTGGATAGGTGGATGGGTGGATGGATGGATGTGTGGATGGATGGGTGGGTGGATGGATGGATGGGTGGATGGATGGATGGATGGATGTGTGGATGGATGGATGGGTGGATGGATGGATGGATGTGTGGATGGATGGGTGGGTGGGTGGGTGGATGGATGGGTGGGTGGATGGATGGATGGATGGATGGGTGGATGGATGGATGGAGTCTAATCAAGAGTCTCCAAACCAAAGGGACCAGTTGAGGTCATGGTGTCCATCCCAATGCTGAGAGGAGGCTGGTCAAGGTCCCTCCCACCTGTCCCTCCACATAAACTTCAAAGATCCGGGTTTGGTCCCAGCTCTGGGGGTGTCCTCAAATGGGTTCTCTCCTCCCCGCCAGGCTTCAGGCTCTGCTGCTTCTCTTGCTCACGAGCATGACAGCCAGTGCTTCCTTCGGCTTCCATGAACACGGCCTGCATTCCCAAAGCTCACCCTCCCAGATCCACCGACCACACATCCAGTATAGCAGGGGGCCTGGGCTCAGGGTCACCAGACCAGAACCCAGCCAGGCCGCTCACCCTGTGACCCTGAGCATATCCTGGACCTCCAGGGTAGAGGCCAAATCAGGTTCATCTCTACGGCCAGCAGTGCCTGTGGCTGAGTAGGCCCTCAGTGAATATTTCCTGACCTTGGACTTAGCTATAAGGAGGGAGTAATAAAACAATAACAACTCTTGCTTTCTGCAGGGAAGTTAAATGAGAAAATGAATCAAAAGGCAGTTTGTAAACATGACAAGGCTTGGTAAACAGAGCCGGGACAACACAGACATCGGCTCTAACACTCGTGCTCCTTGAGCGAGAGCACACCCTTCCCCCACCTCCTCTCTCCTCCAGGGTAGACAGGAAAGCTGGCCTTGCAAAAGATGGGGGTGTCACCCCGGAGGGGCTTCCCAGAGGCAGAGGGCGGGCATCTTTTTCCAGATCATTCCAGCTACCCAGGGTCAGGCATAATTATCTGGACCCGATACCAGCTCCCTTAGCCCCAGCCTCAGCCTGGTGCCTCTTGCTTCTAATGCAGCCGTCTCCTTCTCCACAGCCCTGCAGGTCCCACCGGCCTCCACCCCTCTGCCGCCCTCAGTGCCCTGCCATTGCAGGAGGGCAGGCCCAGGCGGAAGGCAGACATGAGGTGGACAGGGAACGATGACTCCTAAGCCAAGAGGGGACCGGGGTGCGCGGGGTGCCCCGTTCAGCCCCATTTTCCATAGCCCGGCTAAGGAAGCTCGTCCCCCTGGATAACAGAGTCGTACCTCTACCCCAGTCTGGCCCCCTGGCTACCTCTGAGGCTTTGCTCAACCCACTCCTGTCCAAGAGAATGAGACTGACCAACTCGGAACACCTCGCTGGAAGCCCAAAATGCCCTGGACATGGCGGGGGGGCTGGGAAGCCTTGGATAAGTCGCTTCATTTCCCTGAGCTTCCGTTTTCTCCTCCTGCAGCCACTTCCCAGGGTCGCTGCAGACGGAATGGACCTGTCCACCGAGAAGAACCCGGCACGGACGAAGCCAGCCGTGCGTTTTTGAAAAGCGAAGGCACGGGAAGTTCCGGAGAAAAGAAAAGGTGCTCTGTGTTTGGCATGGAATGTGTTTTCTTTTTGCATTCGATCCTCTCTTTTCAACTGTCTTATTGTGGATATTGAAATGAGGTTACCTCCCCTAAGTATGGTCAAAGGAAGAAGGAGAGTGTTGGGAGAATAGTACAGGGATTAAATATGAGCTCTGCAATATATATGTGTGTGTGTGTGTGTGTGTGTGTGTGTGTTTGCTGCACTTCACAAAACCTGAACACTATGAGAAGGTCTCATCAAAGTCCTGGCACTTTCCCATCTCCCCTCCCCCCACGTTCCTACCCTCAGTCCTGGGGTGTAATGGGGGTGGGTAGAGGCAGCTGGGCAGTGCGCTACCATTTTAACCACTCCCTGCCCAGCACACCCAGCACCTCTCCCTGCACCCAGCAGCGCACCCTGAGGAGTAGGAAGGCGGAGGGAGTCCCCAGTCACTGCAGAACTGACCCCTCAGACCCCAGCACAGCAGCCCCCCCCCCCCCCCCCGCCACTCCCCACCTGCCCCACTCACTCAGCCCAGGTGAGGACAGCCCCTGGGCCCGCCCTTTGCGGCAGAAGGTCAGGGGTGAAGATGCCAGCCTGGGAAACAGGGAGGGAGGGAGGGACCAGCCACCTCCCGCTGTTTACAGCAGCCCTGGCCCAGCACCTTCCCAGAGAGGGCAGAGTTCACCGAGTCCCCAAGTCAGCAGAGAGAGACTCTGTGTTTAGCAACACAAAGCCCAGACACACACACACACACACACACACACACACACACACACAGACCACACAACTCAAGAGCCCCGGGCACAGAGGCTCCTCAGACAGCACACAGTGCTCTGACGGAGGGCCCTCCGGCCACAGACAAGAGGACACACCCCTTCCCCAGACACAGGGCCCGCTGGACCACCCGCCGCTCCCAGGGCCGCTCCTGTGCCTTCCCTCCACTGGGCATGCGGGCGCAGTGTCTCCCGTGGCTCCAGGTGGACGGACAGGCGGGGGGCGAGGGGGCGCACTGCCTGACCCCTAAGCCCAGCGCCCACTGGAGCACGGGAACGGCACAGGCCCCTCCCGGGCCCGTTCTGAGGATGAAGAGGGCGCGCACGCAGAGCGCCATGTGCGGGCCTGGCACCCAGTGTGCTTCCAGGTTCCATCGTTCCTGCCGCAGATGGGCACATGGGGCAGGACACGGCGCCCCATCCCCCTCCCCGCACACGGCACGAGGGAAAGGCACACACACACACCCCCATCGGCACACGCCCAGCGGGTCCCAGCACTGAGCCTCCCGCACCGAGCGCCCAGGTATTCCCCGGGGAACTCTCCACGTTCCGCCTCGGACCCGGAGCCCCAGTCCCGCTCTCCACCGGCCACAGGGCGCCGGCCCCGCGCCGGCCTCGAAGAAACGGATTCAAAACAAACGTCTCGCCCTCCCCCCGACCTCCACCCGTACCCCCACCCCAGACTCCTGCGCGGGGCGGTGGTCCCCCCTCCGGGCTCCCCACTGCCCCCTCCACACCCGCAGCGGCGTCCCGGAGCCCGGCGGCCGGAGAGGGGGGGCGGGGGCCGGGCTGGAGGGACCCCAGGAATCCAGCCAGGCCGTCCGGAGGCGGAGGCTGCCAACTGGAGGGGCTGGGAGAGAGCTGGAGGGGGTGCAGGAGAGGCACACACTCTCACACACTCACACTCACACACACACTCACATATACACACACTCACACACACACATACACACACTCACATATGCACACGCACACACACACACACACACACTCTCATATACACACACTCACATATACACACATGCACACACTCATATACACACATACACACACTCACAAACACTCACACACACTCATATACACACACATATACACACACTCACATATACACACACGCACACAGCACACACTCTCTCACACACACACACTCACTCACACTCACACCCCCACCGCACGGCGGGCCGCGCACCCTCTGGAGAACTCTGAGAAAGTCCAGGGAACTTTGCTGGCAAGTTCCCGGCGCGATCCGGAGTCTGGAGAGCGCCGGGCTCCGGATGGGGCGGCGGGAGATCCCCCTTCTTTCGCCCCGAGAGCCTGGACAGCCCCAAACTCCGGGTCCGGAGCTCGGACGGCCCCCTCCTCCCTTCCCGCCGCCCACCCGGGGGCTCCGGGGGGCTCCGGGCTGCAGGGTCCCGCCGCGGCCCCCGCCCCCCGCCCCCGGACTCACCTTGGGTGCCCGCGGCCCCGGGGGGCAGGAGGGCGAGGAGGAGCCCCCAGCGGCACCAGGCCGCCGGCCCCATTGTCCTCACCGCGGCGCGGGCCCCATGGCTCCGCGGACCGGCGGGCGGGCGGCGGGCGCGGGGCCGGAGCTGCGCACCGAGGGCGCCCCGCGAAGGGGCGGGCGGCGGCGGGGGCTGCGGCGGCTCAGCGGGCGGACGCGGGGGAATCTCAGCTCCACAACTTCATTCTGCACTTCCTCCAGCCGCCTCCGCCGCCGCCGCCGCCGGTGATTGGGAGCCGCCGCTCCCGGCCCCCCGCCCCCTCCAACCGCATTCCAGCGATCCGGGGCGTGGCCGCCGCTCCGCTCTCACTGCGCGCAGGCCCGGCCGCCTCCCGCCCGGCCCGGACCCCGGGGCGCCCGCCGCCCTTCCCGCCCGCCCCTGCGGCCCCCGATACGCCCCGGGGGCGATCGCGCCCCTCCCCCGGGAGTCCGGGGCGCAGGCTTAGGCTGCCCTCCTCTTGGAGGCGCAGGTTTCGTCGTAAACTTTCCTGGCGAGTTTGCAGCCTACTCCGTCACGTGCCCATCGGTTTTATTATCAAATAATGGTTTTCCCGCCCCGTCCTTAAGTAACTTCAATAGCCGAGGAGGGGTGTGTGGCTTCCGGGACTCCCTGGCTTGCCTTCTCGAATCTTTTAGGTATACTTTCCAGCCTGAAAAGCAGGGTTTTAAGAGTGTCTGCAAGTTTGGGGAGAGAGGGACCTCCCATTGGAAGAACACCCCTCTTGTTTCTTGCATTCAGCACCAATTCATCCAAGGGTTCCTGTTTGCCCGGTACCTTTCATTGGCAGCTAGATTCCACCTCCCCTCCCTGCCTTCCACCCGGAGCCCCTGACCCATTACTTAAGGCCAATGGGGGGTGTATTGGGGCTGGGGGACTGGAAGGAAGGCATGTTTTTGTTGGAAATTCCAATAAAACATTTCACGGGACATACCACTACGGCTTACACTGGCAAGTTATTCCTTTTTGACCTGAAATGCTAATGTAACTGGGCACCCTTCTTTTCATTTGCCAAATCTGGTCACTCTGGTTGGAATGCCTCAGCCAAGGGCACGTGTGTGGCTCAGGGTGGGGATCAGAGGCACTGCCTGGGAACTGAAGAAGGGACAGTAGCATTCCTTCCTTTTTTTTCTTTTAAATCCTCACTCGAGGATATTTTCCCATTAATTTTTAGAGAGAGTGGAAGAGAAGGAGGAAAGACAGAGAGAAATATCATTGTGAGAGAAACACATCAATTGGTTGCCTCCTGCTCAAGCCCTGACCAGGGCCTAGGCTGGGATGAGCCTGCAACCAAGGCTGATGCTCTATCCACTGAGCAAAACTGGCTAGGGCTAGTATTTCTTCTTCTGTAAAAAAATGTTTATTGATTTGAGAGAGAGGGAGTGAGGAAAACAGAGAGAGAGGGAGGAAGAGAGAGAAATATCGATTTGCTGTTCCACTTACTAGTACTGACGCATTCATTGATTGATCTTGTATGTGCCCTGAGTGAAGATCTAACCTGCAAGCTTGGCATATCTGGACGATGGAGCTAACCGGACAGCGCTGGACACTGCCCTTTCTTAATCTGCCTGCAATTCGCTAGCATGGTGACAGGCGGGCACTTTCACAGTAGGGGGCATGGAGAATAGGGTGCTCTGGGATCAGAGAGACCTGGGTTCAAATTTCCACTCCACCACAGGTCAGCTGTGTGACCTCAGGCAAGGGACTGACCCTCTCTTAGTCTGGCTGCTCACTTGTAAAGGGCACCTGGCATTCTGTGTTATAGGTTGGGTTAAAAGATGATGCTACAGAAGCACTCAGCATAGTACTTGCCCATATTAATGACTCAATAAGTGGTCTCAGGGTTAGTGCAGACTGCTGCGGACCTAGGTTTTGTGGGGCCTGAGAGTTACGAAATTTGGGAGCTTCTTTTTGGGAAAAGGAATACAAAAGTGATGAATACAAAAATACGCATGCTCAGCTCTAACCAGTGAGAGTCAAACTACAGGCCAGGTTCTATTAGAAGGTCCGTCAAGAATCCAATTTAGACAATTTTTATTTGTTTGTTTGTTTAAGAAATAGAACAGAATGCCTTGCCTGGTAGCTTAGTTGGTTGGGGCATTGATCCCTGGATTTGATCCCTGGTCAGGGCACATGCAGGAGTCAACCATGAGTGGGCACACTGATGGGTGGAACAATAGTTCTGTGTTTCTTCCTTCCTCTCTCTCTCTCTCTCTCACACACACACACACAAATCAATAAATATAAATTTAAAAAGAAATAGAGTGGAATAGAAATGATTCATGACATCACGTGCAGGAAGGGTGAGAGTGGGTAAAGGTGATGGTGGATTTATTTCTTGAATAAACGTTCAAGAACTCCTGCTGTGTACGGAGACACAGCTGCCCTCTGGGGTGGGCATCAAAACCCCTCTTTTCTCCAGGGTTCAAGTTAAGAGTTAGAGAAGGTGAGGGTCAAGGAAACAGGCTCAAACGAGTTAACCAATTTGTCCAGGACCCTCTCATGACTAATGAGGAAAAACTGGAACCGCCAGCAAAATCACCCCCTCCCCTCCCCTATCGCACAGCCCAGGACCTGTGCCTCTCAGACCTTCAGGGCAAGAAGACAGTGACCTGGCTCTGTCTTCAAGAGACCATCAGGTGTTAGGGTCCCCCAGCCCCCTGACATTGAGTTAGGAGGGCTGGTCCAGCCAGGAAAGCTACTATGACAGCTTTACTGGGCCCCCTACTCTGTGCCACCCTCTGTCCCACAGCCAGAGCAGGCAGGTGTTATTGTCTGTTTTACAGACGAGGAAACCTCAGGTTCCCAGACAATGGGGACTGAGGCATGAATGAGGCTTTGGCTTCATCCATTTCACTCCAGAGCCAGAATGAGGGGTACCCCGAACCCCCCTTCACCCCATGCCCCTGCAGGGGATCCAGAGGGGGGCCCTGGGAGAAATCCAGGAAACTAACCCGGTCCCACGCGCCTCTCCTGCCAAGCCCAGCCCACCCTCTCTGCATCCCAGATCCCTGAGGGAAGCCCAAACTACGGACAATGGTCAGGCCGAGTGGGCTGCCAAGGGGGGCAGGGCCAGCGGGCTGGAGTGGGGCAGGGAGGAGCAGAGGTCTGAACTCACGCTCTGGGGAGGAGGCTCAGCAAGGGCCGAGGCTCCCAGAGAGAATGAGCCCATTCAGAGCTGGGGAGGAAGGGGAAAAGCCTTGTCTGCTGTTTGACAAGAGGAGAGGGAGGGGGGCGGGGTGGGCGCTGCTGATTCGCTTCACCCCTCCCGTTGCCCCTCCAGCAGGCCTGGCAGGAGAGCCAGGGAAAGAGGATGTCTGAGGGACAAAGGCTGGGAGGGGAGGGCACTGGCGGAGGGCGGGAGAGGGGGGACCAGCGTGGTTGCTAGAGTAGAGGAGCCTGAGTTTGCCAGCAGAGTCCAGTAAGGACCGGGGAGGAGCCAGCCAGGGGCCAGAGGACAGATACAGGAGATCCGCACGGGAAGGCCTCTGGGAGACAGGTCCTGGCCTCCGGGCAGTGGAGGTGACCCCGGCAATAGAGAGGCAGGAAGGGGCTCCGGCTTAGGGAAGGTGACCTCCGAGGATCAAAAGACTGGAACCAGCAGCCTGTGAAATGCCAATCAATCATTGGCCAGCCCCTGAGACTGGAGGCCTCAGGAGACTCTGTGGTGTGTGCCTGTGCGTGTATGTGTGTGTGCGTGCGTGCGTGCGTGCGTGTGTGTGGCACCAGAGGCTCCTCCCTCTGCCTTCCTCACCTGCCAGCCTGGGTCAGAGGATTGAAAACAAACAGAACAAGGGAGGAGACGGTTCGCGGTTCACAGTCCGAGGTCCAGGCCACACACTGGGCCTGCCCCACAGGCCCAGTGTGTGGGATTGTAGGAGCTAGTTCCTGGGAGCGGGCCCGCAGGGAGTGGGCACCAGGCCTCCCTGGGGCCACTGGGGAGTAACTGAGAAGGTTTTGATAAGAAAATCTGTTCTTCCAGAAAGTGGCCTTTTAACCTTGCAACTTGAAGGTTAGCCCCGGTCCCAAGGTTGAGAAGGGAGCTCGCCAGACAAGCTGACCCTGGACATGCTGACCGCCTCCCTCAGTCCCTCTCACCCCCATCTCGGTGTGCAGACCCAAGACCCTTCTCTCTCCCTAGGCTGTTTTGCCAGACAAAAATCACTCTGGGCCCCGGCCAGTATGGCTAAGTGGTAGAGCGTCGGCGCTCGCACCAATGGGTCATGGGTTTGATTCCCAGTCAAGGGCACATACCTGGATGGCAAGTTCAATCCCATTCCAGTTGGGCGGGAGGCAACCAATTAATGTGTCTCTCTCACATCGATGCTTCTCTCTCCCCACTCCCTCACTGCCTTCCACCGTGTCTAAAAATCAATGGGGAAATGTCCTCGGGTGAGGATTAGCAACAACAACAACACCTCTGTTCTCTCAGCCTCACCTGGCTTTAATGCGTGCACATAAAGGGCATGCGCTTCCGTGCTGGCCTGTGCATACAGGCTAGCAGGGGTGTGTGCTCCACTTAGCATGCCCTTGCGAAGCTCTGGCTGGACTGGCTCCGTGGTAGAGCATCAGCCCATGCACCCAAGGGTCGCAGGTTCGATTCCTGGGCAAGAGCATGTAGTTGGGTTGCAGAAGTCTCTCTCTCTCTCTCTCTCTCTCTCTCTCTCTCTCTCTCTCTCTCTCTCTCTGTGTGTGTGTGTGTGTGTGTGTGTGTGTGTGTGTGTCCATCCCTTCCACTTTCTCTAAAAATCAATGGGAAAATATCCTCGGGTGGGGATTCACAGCAACAAACCACGTGCTGGAGCTCGTCCCTAAAAGTGTCACTGGACTGTGTGGCCTTGTACAGCCTTCACTTTGTCGTCTGAAATACGAAGAGTTTGATTGAATGGTTTCTGGTCACTGAGTCTCACCATTTGGAGTCAGGAGCAGTGACCCCTTACAGCCCTCTTGAACCATCCCTCTGCCAAACTTCCAATTCTTTATTTCACGAGCACTGGTTCCTCCCGCTCCGGTTAGCCCTTCAGAATCCGGAGCCCACGCCCCTTTCGCCCGACATACCTCTGGGGCTCTGAATGAGGATCTCCTGGCTTTTGATTTGAGGAAGAGGAGAGAGTAGGGGGTTGGGAACAAGTCTTACCCAGAATGCACCACCCCAACAGGCAGTTGATTTGAGCTGAAAACGGTCAAAGCCCAACAAATCCTGAACGTGTTGTTTTGCCTTCCCTTCGCCTGTCCACAGAGTCAGACGGGAGATCCTGCTTAGGAAGCCGCCTTGGTTAGCACCGTCACCTTAGCAAGTGGGAATGAAGCGTGGCAGGCAGGGGACCCAGGCAAAAACCTGTGTGCCAGATTACCCTTGTCCCATTGTGTCCAGGCAGCCCTGCAAGACTTTGTTTACCAAATGCTTGCTGAATTGCCTACCTCCCCTTCTTTGGCCCCAAATCGCATAGATACCCATCGTCTTTGGAATTTTCATGCTTATGTGAATTCCTCATGGGCACATATTAAAACTTAATTTTTTTCTCTTGTTAATAGGCTGTATATCTTTTAAAAAATATTATTGATTTTAGAGACAGAGAGAGGAAGAGAGGGATGTAGGGAGGGAGGGACATCCATTTGTTGTTCCACATATGTATGCATTCGTTGGTGGATTTCTGTCTGTGCCCTGACTGGGGATTGAACCCCAAACCTTGATGTATTGGAACGATGTTCTAACCAACTGAGCTACCTCTTTTGAATTATTTCACCAGTCACAAGTACTAAAAGAGTAAGGGGAAAATTTCCCTCACCCCAACGCTAAGAAGCTTCTAGAAGCATAAAACTATGGCAATCACGATGACCTGATTTTGGGGACAATTCTAGTTTCAAATAATTTTACTCACTGAACCCACATTGTTTTTTTCTTTTTCCTCGCCCTTTGCAGACATTCTTTAAGATCGACTAATTTCTCTTCCAATACGTATTTACGCCTTTCTGAGGGCCACCACCAGCTGGTCTAAGAGCCATCAGTTGTCCTTGAAGGAAGCACTTGTCTGTCTTTGATCTCCCAGTGCTGCTCTCCTCCCCTTTCAGCTCCCCCGCCACCCCTCCTTCTTCCCCTCAACAGTGAAAGTAAATGTTTTAAATAAAAATCAAATCATTCAGTTCACCCCAGGGCTAAAACACCTCCCAATGGCTTCCCCTTGCCTAAGCCTTTCACCTTGCCCCTCTCTTTTGTTTTGTAAAGATACCAAATTTGTTTCTGCCTTGGGGCCTTTGCACTGGCTCTCCACTGAGCCTACAACAATCTGCCCTGAGGTTTTTGCCGAGCCGGTTCTTTCTGGTCGTGCAGGTTTCGGTTCAAACTGTTACTTTTTCAAAAAGGCTTTCTCTGACCACTCAAGGTAGACTTTCCCTTCTCTCTCTCTCTCTCTCTCTCTCTCTCTCTCTCTCTCTCTCTCTCTCTCTCTCTCTCTCAATTATTTAACTCAACACTTGTGGCTATATACAATTTTTAAAAACACTTTTTCCTACCCTAGCCAGTTTGGCTCAGTGAATAGAGCGTTGGCCTGTAGACAGAAGGATCCCAGGTTCAATTCTGGTCAAGGGTATGTGCCTTGAATCTCAGTTTGGTTACAGGCCCTCCCGGCCCCGCCCTGGTAGGGGGCGTGCAGGAGGCAACCAATCGATGTATTTCTCTCGCATTGATATTTCTCTCTGCCTTACCCTCTGTCTTTCACTCTCTAATAATCAATGGGAAAATATCTTTGGGTGAGGATTAAAAATGACAACAACAACAAAACACATTTTTCTTTCTTTTTAATTGATGTTATATACAGATGGTACAAAATTTAAAAGGTATAAGAATAAAAAGTATCCCTTACTTCCCTGTAACCCAGACACAGTTTCACTCCCGTCCAGAGGCAACAACTATTTCCACTTTCTTATGTCTTTCTAGATATATCGTCTAAAATAACAAACACCAAGTACTCTTATTTTCGTCACATGAAGTAACATGTATAAACACACACACACACACTTTCATTTTATTGTTCAAAAGTATTACATATAGTAGTACATATATCTCCTTTTTTCCCCCCATTGACCTTCCCCCATCCTCCCTGTCGCATGCCCTCATCTCACCCCCCAGTGTCCTGTGTCCATTGGTTGTGCTTATATGCCTGCATACAAGTCCTTCGGTTAATCTCTTTCCCCCTCTTCCCAACACTCCCCAGCCTTCTCCCTGTAATTTGACAGTCGTTCGATGATTTACATACATACCATTCTACATCTCGCTTTTCATACTTACCAAGAATATGAATATTTTCCCATGTCAGTGCATTACAAATCTGCTCCATTCCTATTGTTGTTCAGTATTCCATTGTAACTGAATGGATCTCTCTCAGTTAATGCAATCCATTCCCTATCAACATACATTTTGTTGTTTCCTTTTCTATTGAAAATAACCAACCATGTTGCCACGAGTAGCTTTGTACTTGTACCACTTTGCACTTGTGTAGATATACCCAGGAGAAAAATTGGTGGTTAGAGGGTTTGTGCAAGTTGCTGGTTTAAGGGAGATGTATAATTGATAGTCTGAAGTGCTAAAGTATCCTATATGGTGATCAAACCAGTATGCTCTTACATTAGTGAAAATATCTTAGTGTTTTATTCTTGTTTGTTGCCTGTCTCCCTTCTCTGACCATGAGAAGGACAGCGTCCTGATCATCACCCTGTATCCAGAGCCTCACACTTGGTAAATGCAACACATCGTTGGTGAATGAAGAACTTTCATTGTAGGTGTCCCCCCGTTTTTGTTCTAAGAATATAGTCAGTTCGCCTATGAGCCTGCAGCACACTGAACTGTTTGCTTTGTCTTTCTCCTCCTTAGACTGGGAACCATTTCTAATGTGTCTTTCTTTTTGTCAGCAATGGCTGACACACAGTAGGGCTCAGTAAGCCTGAGCTGAAGGAATGGATTGATGACTTTGAAGGCTGTGATTCGCATAGGGAAGTCAGGAGCAGAAGAAGCTCTTTGGGAAGAGGTGGCCTTGGATTGAAGAGTTGGGAGAGGGAGAGGCCCCATGATGATCTAGAGATGCAGGCTGTGCTGAGAGAGAAAACCCACAGGAGAGGTCTTGGAGAGGGCACACCCCATCTCCCATCAGGACCACAGGACAAAAATCTCCACCCTCGCCCTCCCCCTGACCTTTGGATTGTTTTTCCCATCAGGAATGTAGGTTTGAGTTTTCAAGAACCTATGAAATGTTTGAGACTGCTAAGCTAATTTTTAAAGTTAGCTCCAAAATATAAAAATTAATATTTTATTAAGTGTATATACAATATAACAATATGTCAACTATTAACAGCAACTCAACTGTATATAGTCATTTATAAGTTTTATTTAATGTGGGATATTGCCACATTATATTAATGTGTTTGATGTAATATAGAATGAGGTTTCCGAAACTGGAAACTTGAAAGTGTTTAAAAAAACAAACAAAAAACCCCACAAAACAAACAAACAAACAAACAAATAAACAGCTGGCTCAGTGGATAGAGCGTCGGCCTGCGGACTGAAGGGTCCTAGGTTCTATTCTGGTCAAGGGCACATACCTTGGTTGCGGGCACATCCCCAGTGTGGGGGTGCAGGAGGCAGCTGGTGGATGTTTTTCTCTCATCGACGTTTCTAACTCTCTATCCCTCTCAATTCCTCTCTGTGTAAAATCAATAAAATATATTTTTTAAAAAACAAAACTTATAGTGCCTGACTTGTGTGGCTCAGTGGTTGAGCATCATCAACTTATGAACCAAGGATCATGTTTCAATTCCCCATCAGGGCACATCCCCAGTGTGGGGCATGCAGAAGGCAGCCGATCAATGATCCTCTCTCCTCATTGATGTTTCTATTCCCCTCCCTCTCCCTTCTTTTCCCTTCTTTTCAAATATACTTTTTTAAAAATGAAAATAAACCCTTTTAGTAATTTGGAGTTCTCTCAATGAGAGAATCCTGTATTATAAAAGGACTAGTCTAGCAGGTGCAAAGTAGCATTAGCACCTGATTGTTTCTGATCAGCTCCTGGAAGGGCTGAGGGGTTGTTTTGTTTATTTCAGCTTCCCAATCCATGCTCAACTCCAGGGACACTCTACAAATATAATACAATCTGAATGGTGCCTCCTGGAGTGGGTCTTGCCTGGCTTGTGGTGGAGGTAAGGGCTCAGGAAATGTTTGCTTAATGTGTATGTGAATGCAATCCAATTTTACTTCCTGCTCATTTCACCTCCCAAGATAAAAAGAAAAGCTGACTAGGGTTAGGGTGAAGAGAGTAGGAGAGGAGGAAAATCAGTCATTAACACACACACACACACTAATTATGCAACTAACTAAGAGGCTTCCTGCTTCATTGAGATGGGTGTGTGAGTGTGAGTGTGTGTGTTGGTGGCAGTGCAGGATGGGGGAATGCTAAGGCAAGTATCCTATTCCTAACGTCCTCCTCTTCATTTTCCTTGAAGCATCACACCACTCCTGTGTTCAGTGTGCTCTGAATCATGCTGGCGACTTGACAACCCTGGAGTTGCACCCGAAACCTTACGTTTAATTACATTGCTCATTCATTTAAAAACAAACAACTCGCTCTTCACGCCTGCCTGGGGAAAACAGACCACTGCCTGGCATATCACCCCCCACGTGTCCTCACCCTCAGCAGGGGTGTTTGAACCCAGACCAGAAGGAAAAGGAGTGAGAATAAGACGGGAACAAGCGAGACAAAGCCAGGAGGCTGCAGAGACATGGCCCTTGGAGGTAGGCCTGGGGTATGGGGGTGACGAAGACCAGTGCTCAGAGGCCATATCGTGCAGGGCTTGGGGGGTCCTTTTTTAATTTTTTTAAATTAAATTATTATCTGTGTGCATATCTTACCATTCCCCACCCTCCCACTCATACCCTCCCTCCCCAGTGTCCATTGGTTGTACTTATATGCATGTATACAAGTCCTTCAGTTGATCTATTATCTCCCCCAGATCTCCCTACCCTCCCCGCTGTAATTTGGCAGTCTGCTTGTTGCTTTACTGTCTCTTGGGGGGTCCTTTTATCCCGAGGTAACAGGGAGCCAGGGAAGAATTTTACGAAGGAAAGTGAGAGTCAGATTTGAATTATTGGAAATGGGACGCGGGGTGGAGGGAGAGGAAGAGGAGGCGGGAGACTCCTTGAGAGGCTACAGAAGTGACAGATGGTCTTCAACCAGGGCTGGTGCTGGTGCCAGAGGAGATGGAGAGGAAGGTCGAGGGTAAACGATACATGATTTAGGAAGTGAAACCCAATGAGGCTGGTGACAGAAAAACAGCCCGACCTCAAACAGAGACCCCAGGGAAGCGGTGAGATGGAGGCTGATAAAGGACCGCTTTACTTTGCGCCTTAATCCACCTGGCGTCCCCCTTCCCTCAACCCAGTCGCCTCTTTATAAGGAAATGACCATATGACAAGGGGCGGGGCAGACGCCCACGAAAATCCGGGTACTTTCTATTTAAACGAAGCAGACGTCAGCGGAGAAACGAAGACAATCCAAGCACTTCCGGTGACTCCCGGATGTGAAGGCTCCTAAGCTCCTCCGCCGGCGGAGGGCCAAGGCGAAGGATGGCCGGGCAGGCCGCGCGGCTGGTGCTGCTGGCCGGAGTGGCCACGCTCGCCAGCGGCTCCCAGGGCGACCGCGAGCCGGTGTACCGCGACTGCGTGCTGCGGTGCGAGGAACGGAACTGCTCGGGGGAAGCGCTGAACCACTTCCGCTCCCGCCAGCCAATCTACATGAGCCTAGCAGGTAAGCCCCGCCCCTCGAGCCCCGCCCCTCGCCTTGGCCCCGCCTCCCTCTCACCCACGCAAATACCACTCTGCAGGGTCTGGACCTTCGTTTCCAACCCTGGGCTCGTTGTGAGTGTGAGCGGAGCCCCAGGATAAGGAGAGGCTCATCATTCAGTTTTATTTTTTCCAGAAACTCATTTACTTTATATTTATTCAGTCAAACGGGTACTTATTTAATCCTTCAGAGTACAGGACCCTGGAATGACACTGAAGTCAAACTAGGGTCCTGCCCTTCCATGCTCACAGTCCCCATGGGGACCAACTTCTCAAGTGTAAGGTGCAGGATGATTCTAGCCATAAAGGATCTTTAAAAATATGTTTTATTGATCTTTTACAGAGAGGAAGGGAGAGGGCTAGAGAGTTAGAAACAATGATGAGAGAGAAACATCGATCAGCTGCCTCCTGCACACTCCCCACTGGGTGTGTGCCCACAACCAAGGTGCATGCCCTTGACCGGAATTGAACCTGGGACCTTTCAGTCCATAGGACGTCCCTCTATCCACTGAGCCAAACCAGTCAGGGCCATAAAGGATCTTTAGATTAAGCAACAGGACCATATAGGGGAGAAAAAATTCCTTTCTAGCATTGAGGGTTTGGGGTCACTGATCATCTTAGAACTTCTTGAGAAGGAAGGGCTTCCTGGGGGGGATACATTACATTTGGACCTGTGGCCATAGTGGGCACCTTCTGTGTGGCAGGTGTCAAAATAGTCCATTTTTACAACCCTTTGAAGTGGATTCTGATTTTACAGATAGGGAGCTCAGAGAGGTTAAGTGCCTGCCCAAAGTCACACAGCCAGTACGTGGTTTGTAGAGTTTCCAGTTCTGGCCCGTTTAACGACAAGTTTGTTCTCTTTCCTATCCCTCTCCAATCTAGACAGGAACCAGAGCGTGGCGGCTCTGGGCAGATGAAGGCACATCCAGAGGGTTAGTGTACTCAGGGAACAGGATGTATAAAAAGGAGTATTGGGCAATAAAGTTGGAAAGACAACTTGGGGCCTTAAAAGTGAGACTGAAGAATTTGGGCTTTGTCTTTATAGGAGACAAAGTGCTCCCCCCTGTGAGTGAGAACAAACCCTGAGTTCAGGAAAGGCCAGCACAAATCAGGAATCCATAGATGAGTTCGTCAGATGCCAAGATCCTCGTCTTGAGTGAAAGGAGAAGAGAATCCGAAACCGGTTTGGCTCGGTGGATAGAGTGTCGGCCTGCGGACAGAAGGGCCCCAGGTTCGATTCTGGTCAAGGGCATGTACCTTGGTTGCGGGCACATTCCCAACAGGGAGCGTGCAGGAGGCAACTCATCGATGTTTCTGACTCTCTATCCCTCTCCCTTCCTCTTATGAAAAATCAATAAAAATATATTTAAAAATAAAAAAAGAAAGGAGAAGAGAAGAAACATCTCTGTTTGCTCCCTATACATCGCCACCCACGTGAGCACACACATTCCTTATGTATATGTCCCATCTCCTATCCATCCAAGCGGGAACCTAGAATTTTGAGATTTCAACATGCAGACCCTGTTGGCCTGCATTCAGGTTTAGGCCCTGTTCAGGCCCTCTCTGTGCCTCCTGTACTGGGGTTCACTGGGCCCATTTGTCTGTTTCAGGCTGGACCTGCCAGGACGACTGTAAGTATGAGTGTATGTGGGTTACCGTCGGCCTCTACCTCCAGGAAGGCCACAAAGTGCCTCAGTTCCATGGCAAGGTAAGTTGGAGGGTTGGGGAGGGAGATGGTGGTGGTGTGGCGGGATTAATATACCCCATCTCCCAGTTGGAGTACACCATCTGAAGGGTGGGGTGATCTGTATTTGTTACAGGTGCCTGTTCTCAGAATATGCTGGTTTTCATATGGGAATCGGGTGGGACCAATGTGTCCTGCCTCTGGGTTTGGAATAAGATCTAGGGTCTCCTCAGAGAGTGGTGCTGGGCTTCCGAGAGTTGTTGGATGCCCACCTTGCTGCAAGGACACATCTCCTCGCTCAGCACAGCTTCTTTTCCTTTGCTTCTTCAATAGGAGCCTGGATTAAGATCATAATACCCCTCAGATTGCCTAGGGAGGACCCTGAAATCAAACCAGGGTCCTGCCCTTTTGATATGCTAATGATATTTTTAAAATATTTTTTTCTTGATTTCAGAGAGAAAAGGAGAGAGAGAGAGAAATATCAATGATGATGGGGGCGTCAATCGGGGAAAAAGGAGACATATCTAACACTTTAGACAATACCAATTTTTTAAAAATATCAATGATGAGAGAGAAGCACAAATCGGCCGCTTCCTGCAAGCCCCCAACTTGGGGTCCAGCCCACAACCCAGGCATGTGACCTCCTTATAAGTTGATGCTCGACCACGGAGCTACCGGCTGGGCATGATCCGATAGTGATCTTGTTCCAGTCTGTAGTTGGCAAGAATTATTCTCCCCTGTTTGTCCCAGAGTAAGCTGTGGCTCAGAGGGCTGAGGTCAGAGGTAGAGGAGGGATGAGGGCCACTGTCTTCTGGATGGCAGGACTATGCTGTTTCTACCATGCCATACTGAGCCACCCAGTCTTCCCAGAGACCAGGCTTACAGTGCCGAGTGCTGGCCAGGATAGAGGGGTGACCCTCAGCCAGGGAGGGAGTGACTGACTCAACAGAACAGAACCAGAGGCTATGGCCAGGTCCCGAGCTAAGGGCCCAGCTGAGGAACTATTGGTGCAGCAAGCCAAAGATAGGTGGGAGAGAAACTATTGTAGTAATCTGAACAATAAAGATTTATTAAATTAAACACGCGCGCGCGCACACACACACACACACACACGCACAAGATAGGTGGGGCCAGCTGGGGGTTGCTTGCCCCTCAGCCCCCTCCCTGTGTTCCTCTTTCAGTGGCCCTTCTCCCGGTTCCTGTTCTTCCAAGAGCCAGCGTCTGCCGTGGCCTCTTTCCTGAACGGGCTGGCCAGCCTGGTGATGCTCTGTCGCTACCGCACTTTTGTGCCAGCCTCCTCTCCCATGTACCCCACCTGCATGGCCTTCGCCTGGGTAGGTAGCCTGGCAGGATTCTCGCTTTACACCCTCGTCTAGGAAAGAGAAGCCCTGAGATCCCCGCTCACCCTGCAGGGCTCCTACCCACCGTGCTTCCCCCCTGTTTTCCAGGACGAGAGTTGCAGTTGAGGGGTGGTCAGGCCTGGGAAGACAAAGGGGTGGGGGGGTTGCTGAATGGGGCCTCGCCTTTCCAGCAGAGGCCCAGGCCGGGCTGTTTGGGAGGAAGGAGAGAGGAGGGAAACCTCATTCTTGCCTACAGAAGGAAGCCACTAACAGCACCCATAGGGCTATGGACAGACAGAGAAGGGAGATGTTGGAAAGAAGCAATCTCACCCCTAGCCCCCGCCGGAAGCAGTGGCAGCCACAGCTCTCCCTTAGCTCTCAGCCTGGTCTTAGACTACCCAGGGGAAAGCCGAAATACGTTCCATCTGAGAATCCGGAGGAGGCTCTGAGCTCCACCGTGTGACTAGTCAGAGCTGCCTCTGTCAGCCTGAGGGAAACAGTCTCCACTCACTCACCTTCCTGACATAAAAGCAGCCTACTGTGGGCCACTCACTTTGTCGGGTGCTGGAGATCCAAATGTGCCTAAAAGCAGATGTTCCCTGCCCTCTGGTACCAATCCCACAGGTGAATGTAGAAGGTCAGTGGGTGAGAGGTGTTGTAGGGCCATGTGATAGGGGCTAGATCCGAATGGGACAGTCAGGGAAGGCTTCCCTGAGGAAGGGGCAGGCAAGGAAAGATCAGAGTGGTTAGTAAATGCCAACTAGGTGAATTCAGGGAAAAGAGGAGTCGTTGTCGATGGAGAAGACTCAATGTGCACAGGCAGGAGAGAGCTCAGGTTATAGGAGGACCTAAATGGCCAGGAGGCCGGCCATGCAGGGAGCCAGGAAATGGGGTGTGAGCCTGGGGAGCAGGTGGGCTGTGGACGGGGCCAGCCCATGAGGAGCCTGGGGGTACATTGGGCGCAGCAATCACCAACTGGTGGTCTGAGGACCCATGGTGGGTTGTGAGGTCTGAAAGGTTGGCAACCGCTGCCTTAGGGCAGGCACTTCAGGTCTTGACTTGCAAAGCAACAGGAAGCAATGAGGATCAGAGAGAAGGCGTTTCATGAGTAGATGATTTGGAAAACTCATTTTGGCTGCTGTACAGAGAACAGACTGGAGGGGGCAGAAGTGAATGCAGGAGGCTAGCGGGTTTTAATATGTATTTTATTGATTTCAGAGAGGAAGGGAGAGGGAGAGAGAGAGAAACATCAATGGTGAGAGAGGCTCATTGATCGGCTGCCTCCTGCAGGCCCCACACTGGTGATCGGGAAGCCACCTGGGCATGTGACTGGAATCGAACCGTGACCTCAGAGGGTCCCAGCGTGTCTTCGAGCCTTGTGGTCCTTTCAGGAATCCTGTCTGCATCTCCCTGGCTCTCAGGTCTTCCATTCCACTGTCATCTGCCACTCAGCCTCCTTGCCGTGGTGTCACGCTTCCCAGGAGTATCCGGGGACCCTCAGGGACTGAGCAGGTGCTGTGAGGTTGGGAGAGGCAGACACGGGGGGCCTGCGTCTTGGGGCGCCCTACAGAACACTGTTCTAGGGCATGGAACCCCCCAGGCCATCTGTAGGCCTGAGGGACGGAGTGTCAGCATCCACGCTCCCTTTAACGATCCAGTTTGGATTTTATACTTGATCTTTCGTCCTGTGTTTGCAGGAGGGAGGGATCTGCCTGTGTGGAGGGTGTGGCGGTGGACTTCGGCCTGGGCTGGGTCCTCTGAGCAGTGGGGCTCCTGATTTCTGTTGGGGTGGGGTAAGAAGGCCCCTCACCTGCTCCAGGGTAGATGTTGGGGGGAGGGGGGTCTTAATCTTTTCCTTTGGGAAATGAGGAGGCCCTGCCCCCAGCAGGGCTAATGAGGCGCTGAGTTTAGGCCTGAGCCCTGCCGGGCTGCGGGCAGGCTGTGGGGGAGCCCCTAGAGCTCTGCACACCACACACCTGTGACTTGATGGCACTGGGAGCCCTGCCATCCCTGCCCTGCCATCCCGCAGGGACAGGACCTCAGGGTAGCGGTGAGCGTGGGGTTCCAGGAAAGCCCACCTGCAGGGTGGCGTGTGGAGGTGGGGCTGCCTGTGCTTCTTCTCCTGCTGAGGAAATGCAAGAAGAGACGGGCTGAGGCTGCAGCAGGATGAGGGTTAGACTTCAGGAGGGACTTCCCAGCCATCAGACAAGAGCCCGCAAGACCGGCAATGGCAGGAAATCAAACAACCCTTTCGGAAGGAGTAAAAAGCCCCCCTCCTCCCCCCTCCGCCTGCCCCGCCTGCCTCCCCCCCCCCCCCCCCCCCCCCCGTCTCTCTCAGCAGGGGGCTGGGGCAGGCTTGCCCTGCGTGAGGCCCGGGGTGAGACTCCGTGGCCTCTGGGGGGAGGGGGGACAGGATGGCAGCAGGCGTCATAGTTAACATTCTGCCTCCCCCACCTCTGAGACACCGAGCTATTTAAAGACCCACTTGTTCCCACCACCGCGGTGTCAGTGACAGCCCCGAGCACCGGGGCTTAGCACAGGGGTCGAATTCCTGACGGATCTGGCTCGCTTGGCATCCAACCAGTGTCACGGCAGTGATATTTTTGTCTCAATTTTCTTATTTTCCAACAGACTGAAACAGTCTCCTGCTCTCCCTCCGCCCAGCCTTCCCCGTCCCCTTCATTTCCACCCGCTCTGGCACCGGCCCCTGGCCTCCCCTCCCTCCATGTTTACAAGAAGTTCTTGGCGCCTGCTGGCTGGCCCGTCCTCCTCCTGGTCCCTCTGATTGGCCAGTCACCCCTGGGCCTCCCCGTCCTGCTGGAGTGGGCTCAGGAGGCCAGGAACAACGGGACACTCACATCTCCGGGGCTTTCCCTCCTGCGTCCGGCCCCTCCGTCCACTCCCTTGAGTCTTGGTTACCAGCTGAGGGGAGGGAACTGGTGTCTCTTCAGTGCCTCCTGGTGGGATAGGAGCTCAGGAGCCAGGAGGCTGGGGCTCCTCCCATCGCTGAGGTGTCTGTGTCCTGGGATCAGAGACCCGTGGTTTGACCTGGGACACTGGGACCCTTAAGGAAGAGGAAGATGGGGTCAGGTAAAGGTAAGGGGACCAGATGTCCCGCTTTTGGTGGGACAGTCCCGATTTTCAACCATTTGTCCCGATTTTTTTAAAACGCCGCGGGACGCGGGACAAATTGTTAAAAATCGGGACATCTGGTCACCTTAGGTCAAGGGAAATGGTGGGGGTTCAGCTTGCTGGGCATGATGGAGGAAGCTGACATTTATGTGGCACCTATTGTATACCGGGCGACAAGAAACAGCCGTTTCCTGAGCGGCCCCTCTGTGCTGGCCGTTTCGCAGACATCCTCCTCAGGACCTCGAGCAGCGAGCGCTATGACTGACCCTGTTTTGTAGGTGAGGCCGCTGAGGCACAGAGAAGCTGTTTGCTCTTCAGGGGCTAAGTCAGAACTTGGACCAAGGGCCCATCTCTCTGTAAAGGCTCCGACATCCTGCCCCCAGCCTGGCACTGAGGGACGGGCCGGGGCGGCTGTGCGGAGACGCCTCTTCTCCCCCTGGACCTGCCTGGCCTGTAGGGAGAGGGGGAGGCGGGCTGGGCCTGTCTGGTCTGCGGGGAGGTGGGAGGGCCTCGAGCTGGTCATGGAGGTGGGGAGAGACAACACCTCATGTCGGACCCTGTCCCGGGCACCGGGCTGTACCCTGCACCTGTATTACTCCTTAAATCCTTGTCAACACTATCATCATTCCCACTTTACAGATGAGCACACTGAGGCCCAGCCAGGCTAAATAACCCGTCCAAAGGCACAGAGGGAATGCAGAGCTGGAATTTGAACCCTGGCTGTCGGGCCTTATGCCTTCATTCTTAATGGCACTGTCTTCCCTGAAGAGGAGCTCCCCAGAATGGGACACTACCCAGTGGAGAGGGGACTTCTCAGGGGCACAGACGCAGTTGAACGGGGGACCACCCCACCCCCGTGCCCTACAGCTCAGCCCTGGCCTTGTGCAACCCCCTTCCCCTGCCCTGCCCTCAGTGTTCCAACCGCCACTTAGCTCCGTCTTTTGTCACCTCCCCCTTCCTGCCGGATTACAAGGAGGCCTGGCCGGCTTCCAGTCCCTTCTGCCTTCCCCTCCGCCTCCCACTCACACTGGCTCCAGGGCCGTTCTCCCCAAGGATGTCCCCGTGCCAGGCCTGCCTGGGAGACCTGGCCCACGTGACCCCCTGGGTCCCCAGCCCTGAGCCTGCGCCTCTCCCCACGCTGGCTCTGAGCATCACGCTTTGTGGGAGCAGCGTCCCAGGAGCCACCCTGTTCTGTCCCACATCCAGCCTCCAGATCGTGTCTCCGGGGAAGGGGCAGCCGAGGGCTGGGACGGGAAACAGCCGGCCCTAGAACCACCACCTGCCGGCAGGGCTGGAGAGGGAGGGGGAACACACACAGCCTCACTTGTCCCAGGTCTTGAGCATAAACAGCGAGATTCAGCCCGAAACCCAGGCCGGACAGGCTGCTACAGGAACAAGGAGAGCCAGCTGGCCCCTCGTCATTCTCAGAAGCCCCCTGGGGCCGGCATGAGAGACCATCCTCCTGTCCCAGCTTCCCGCTGCGGTGCCCGATGGAGTGGCTTCTCAGCTGCTCCCTCCGTCCCCTGCCCGGCCAGTTTTCCTGGGCGCTGGCCCCAAGTGAGCCGCCCCTGCCCTTCCCCAGCTCTGCCAGGCTTGTCCCACCCTAGCGCCTCCCTCCCTGCCCCCAGGCGGCTGCTGCTTCCTTTGACTGGTTGTCACTGATTTCCCAGCCCTTCCGCCCAGGCCAAGGACCTATGTCGGCCCCAGCCCACCCTTCTCTCAGTAATGGGGGCCCCTGCATGGACATGGCGGTCCCTCAAAGAAGTGCCAGCACCGAGCACACGTGGTCCAGGGCTCGTTTGCCAGATGATGAGTACTCTCTCCTGGTAGTTAGTTTCCAGGAAGAAGGCATCCACTGCTCCCCGGGGCCCATGGCCACCCCAGCCTCTCCAGCCCTGCTCCTGGCCTCTCCCAGACTCGGGGCAGCTGCCACCGGGCCAGCCCGACCAGGAGGAAGCTGGGCCCGGCTGGCGGCTGGCGGAGCCGCCTCCTCCTCAGAGACTTGGCCCCAGTGGGATCTGCCCGATCTCCCTCCCTGGCTTGCCGCTCCAGACACACCCCAAGCTGGCTCGCACCCCTCCACCCCACCCACTTCATTCCCGCCCCCAGAGGCTGAGGTCACCGGCTCCCCTGGCCCAGGTGGGGCTGCTCCACTGCCGGTTGGGAGAGGAGGCGAGGCGCCCCCAGGGGCTGTTGTCTTAGGGTTGAGTAACCAGGGACTTGGACTTGGCCGGGACTGGTTCCCAGGCTGAGCCAGAAACCCGTGGAGGCTTCCAACCCCCACTCCCTTGGGGGTTGGGGGGGTGGGGAAGCTGAGCCTGAGGGGGCTGGGCCAGGGGGGAGGGGAGGGGTACAGGTTGGTGTGGGGGGCTCCAGGAGCAGGTGGAAGCACATGTCTCTTCCCAAAAGCGAGACGGGTGTGAGCCCTCTGGGGGGTCTTCCCCACCTTGGGGTGCCACGCTCACCAGCCACCTCCCTCCTCAGGTCTCCCTCAATGCGTGGTTCTGGTCCACAGTCTTCCACACCAAGGACACGGCCCTCACCGAGGTGAGCACCCTCCCGCTCCCTCCCTGCGCCCGGAGGGGTGGGGCGGGGCGGGCGCTCAGCCTTCCTGCTGACTCCCCTGGGGGAGCCTCCTCCGTGCTGGGCACCGCAAACCTGTGAGTGCACCCGAGCCTCTCTCAGCCCTGGAGGTGGTGTGATGGTTATTGGCTCTTCTTTTTAAAAAAATATATTTTTTATTGATTTCAGTGAGGAAGGGAGAGGGAGGGAGAGAGAAACATCAATGATGAGAGAGTCATTGATCAGCTGCCTCCTGCACGCGTCACACTGGGGATCAAGCCCTGGGCATGTGCCCTTGATCAGAGTCAAACCCTGGACCTTCCGTCCACGGGCCTACGCTCTGTCCACTGAGCCAGACCTGCCAGGGCTTGGCTCTTCTCAGCCGATGAGGCAGCTGAGCCCTGGGAAGGCGGGATCACGTGGCCTGGGTCGCCCAGCCGCGAAGGGGCGCAGAGCCCACAGCCTGGGGCTCCGGCTGCCTGCGCCCCAGGCTCGCCTCGATGCTCTGGAGCACACGTGTCAAACACAAGGCCCGCGGGCCAAATCCGTCCCGCCAGGCCTTGCAATGTGGCCCGCACTGCACTCCACTGCGTTTCCATCACAATGACAGTTTATGACTGTTCAGTAAACCATTCGGCCCGCGATTTAGGCTGGATTTTAGATTTTGGCCCCTTCTCTGATTGAGTTCGACACACCTACTCTGGAGTCTCGGCAGGCACCCTCCACCACTGCCGCCGAAGCGTCCCTGCGTGAGCAGTGTGTTAGAGGTGTGTGATGTGCATACATGCTCAGTCCTTTACCTTCAGAAGTGAAGCAGCAGGAGACACCAGCCCCTCCGCCACCCCTCCTGGTCCCAATCCCCCGTGGGCCCCCTCTGGGTCCCGCCCTCCAAGCAGCCCCGTCCACCCCCCACTCCCCTCCCGCAGGCCCCTCACCCTTGTCTCCCTGTCCTCAGAAAATGGACTATTTCTGCGCCTCCACCGTCATCCTCCACTCCATCTACCTGTGCTGTGTCAGGTGAGCCCACGGCGGCTGCGGGCCCGGGTGGGGTGGGGGGGCTGCCCAGCTGGCCTGTGGGTGGGGGAGAGGGGCAGTGGCTTCCATGTGCTGATGTTGGGGTGAGCGATGCCCCCGGGAACGCCCCTGAGCAGCTCTGGATGGCGGGCAGGACCGTGGGGCTGCAGCGTCCAACGGTGGCCAGCGCCTTCCGGGCCCTCCTGCTGCTGCTGCTGACGGCGCACGTCTCCTACCTGAGCCTCGTCCGCTTCGACTACGGCTACAACCTGGCGGCCAACGTGGCGATCGGTGAGCGGGGACCCGGGGTGGGGGTGGGGGTGGGGGGACAGCTACGGAGCTGCTGGCCGGGGGGGCGGAGGTGGTGCTGTTCCTAGAGAAGGGTTTCTAAGAGAGCCGTGGGTGGGGAGGGGAGAAGATTTGGGGTAGGAGAAAGGGGAGACTGGGGGAGAGTCAGAGGCGATCCTGGGGTCAAAGGGCCCAGAGACAGGGGAGGCCTTGTTGGTGGGGGGGAGAGGTCCAGGGAGTGAGCCCCCGCCCCCCTCCCCGCCCCCAGGCCTGGTGAACTTGGTGTGGTGGCTGGCCTGGTGCCTGTGGAACCGGCAGCAGCTGCCTCACGTGCGCAAGTGCATGGCGGTGGTCCTGCTGCTGCAGGGGCTGTCGCTGCTCGAGCTGCTGGACTTCCCGCCCCTCTTCTGGGTCCTGGATGCCCACGCCATCTGGCACATCAGCACCATCCCCGTCCACGTGCTCTTTTTCAGGTGAGTACTCGCTGCCCGGGGCTCGCCTTCCTTGTGCCCTTCCTGGCTGCTTGGGCCCCTGCCGGCTTGCCTGCGCTCATCCCGCCCCGCCACCAGGGGGCGCCCTCGGGGCTGGGCTTCAGCGGCTCCTTCCTCTCTGCTCACAGCTTCCTGGAAGAGGACAGCCTGTACCTGCTGAAGGGATCGAAGCTGGACTGAAGGCCTGGGAGCCAGTCTGCCCTCATGGAGACTCTGCCCGCCCCCTGCTGGCTCCTCTTCTCCCCAGCCCTTGCGATGATTTATCTTTTGAACTTAGATGCGGAGGGTGTGGGCTCAGAATCATGTCATAGGCCCATCACCCACCTCGCTCGCCCCACATGGCCCTCACAGGCATAAGTGTGTTGGGGCCTGGCCTCTGGGCCTCTGGGGCTAGGGAATGGGCAGCCCCTCTGGTTCCTGAACTGAACTGTGTTCTTAGCTCCGCCCAGAGGAGAGCTGCCCCTGCTTTCCCGTCAGCCACCTCCTCACATCCCCTCCCCGCCTGGTGGTTGCCAGAGACTAACTGTCCAGCTGGGAGACAGGGTACCAGGCCTTGGATGCATGGGATTTCCTCCTGTTACCCCGTGCATCCTCCGGGGACCGCTAGGTGGCGCTAGACGCTTGCTCTTTGGCTGCCCTGTTTCCAGGCCGATGCATTCCACCCCGTGGGGGTCTTGAGAGGCCAAAGCAGTTGGGACTGGTGGGCACAGGCCTGGGTGTGCGGGATGCTGGGTGGGGCAGTGTGTGTAAACCCGGCCTGGTGCAGTGTGGAGAGTGGAGGCGTGTGTGTGGGGGGGGGGGGGGCTGTGTGTGAGTGGTTTTAAAGTGTGTGTATGTGTTGTAAGCCCTGATGGGGCTTAAAGCTCATTTGGTGAAAGCGTCGTCCCCATGTGCCAAGGTTGTGGGTTCAGTCCCCGATCAAGAAAAAAAAACGAATGAATGTATAAATAAACGGAACAGCAAATCGACGTTTCTCTCTCTTCCTCTCTAAAATCAATAACAATTTAAAAATAAATGTGTATGCTGGGGAGCAGGCAGAGTGTGGGTTAGGGGAACATACATGGACTGAGTGTGAGTGCAGGCAGTGTGCCACCGTGAGGGAGGCTGGCAGGATGAGGGGTGCAGTCGCCGTCAGTAACCGTTTATTGAGCAGCACCTCTGCACAAGGCCCGAGACCTGGCGGGGGTGTGTGTGTGTGTGTGTGTGTGTGTGTGTCCCGGCTGCATGTGTTGGTGGATGTGTTTGTCTGCAAACCACAAAGGGTCCCCGCACAACTCAAGATCCCCCTCCAAAACCAGAACCAGCCCTTTGGGAGGCAGAGGGAGGAGGGAAATGGGGGATCCCCTGGGCCCCTCAGCCTCCCTCCCACACCCCGTGCCTGGCCTGCTGAGCCTTTTGCCAGAGCCCTGGCCCTCAGCAGGGGGAGAGGCTGGCTGAGGCCACACCCTGCCTGCACCCTGACAAAGGTGAACCCCGCTAGTTGCTGGCAGTCCCCGTCCATTCCTGCTCCACAGGGATAGAATGTGCAGCTCCAGAAACTTCCATCCAGAGGCAGGCTCTGTGATTGGAGCAGGAGCAGGACTCAGGGTCCCCGCGCTCGCCGTGTCCCTCCGGGGGGCGGGGGCACTGTGCCAGGACTCCAACTGCAGGGACCTGGGGGCCCAAGGTAATCTATTTTGATCCTGAGAGGTATTTTAAGGTCGGAGGGCAGCAGGGACTTTAATACACCATTTCCAGCCTCAGCTGCCCTTACTCAGCTCAGGTGTGAGAGGAGGACGGGCTGGAGGGGAGGAGGAAGCACTGCCGGCTGCAGGCAGCGGACAGGTGAGTCTCTGCCAGGTCTGTGCGGTGGGGTGGCAGGGACCAGACAGGGAGCAACAGCAGAGCCCACAGAGCCCAGTCCCGCTGCGGGGGAGCTGGCGGAGGGAGCTGGTGCTTCTCCTTCCTCTCACTTTCCCGGGTCTTGTTTGTGCCCGGACTGTACCCCTGCCCCTTGCTAGTTCCACTTCAGTCTCCTAATTCCCTTCCCCTCCTCCCCTCTGGTCTGAGCCGCTATGAGTGTCACCTGTACAGAGGATAACAGTTCCTGCTGCTGAGTGCGAGAACCAATGGACTAGTACAGGGGTCGGCAAACTCATTAGTCAACAGAGCGGCAAACAGAGACTCACATGTAGCTCTTGAGCCGCAGTTTGCCGACCCCTGGACTAGTGGGTGCCTGGCACACAGCAGATGCTGGCTGAGGTCCCTCTGACCTAAGCCTTCCTTAGTTTGGGGAAGATGCATGATACAGAAATCTGAGTTCATGGAAGCTTCTGGGAAACGAAGGCTGGGGTGGTGCCTCCCCTTCCCTCCTCTCCCCCCCCCCCAACCCCCACAACACCAGAGAGAGCTCTGGCCCCTGCAGCTTCCCAGAGAGCCACAGACAGCAGGGACACGCAGTAGGACAGACATGTCTTTATTGGGTGCCGCCTCAGGCAACAGGGAATCTGACGGCTGCGGCACTGGGTGACGGGGGCCTCACTCCCCCGCCTTCTGGGCCCAGGCAAAGAAGATGCCCTTGACATCGTCCACGCCGGTGCGGAGGTGGGCGGGCATGGTGTAGGTGCGGAGGTCGCGCACCTGGTAGCCGCCGCGCACCAGGGCCTCCCTCACGTCCCCCTCCCTCAGGGGCACCACCATCAGCCTGGCCTCCCCGGCCAGGTACCAGGACTCCTCCAGGGCCCCGATGAGCAGGAGGTGCCCCCCGGGCCTCAGCAGCGAGGTGATGTGGCCCAGGGCCCGCTGGAAGCTGGCAAGGTCCGGGCTCACTGCCTCCAGGCAGAAGGTGGAGACCAGGGCGTCAGCGGGCAGGGGCGCCCCGCTCCCCGCGCCCAGGGGCTGGGGCTGGTGCACATCCACCGGGAGGACCCGCTGCACCCTCGCCCGCAGCTGGCGCTCCTTCTCCTGCCACGACTCCCTGCGGGGACAGGAGATCTGTCCTCAGGGCCCGGGCGCCCCAGGCTCCGTCCTCTGCTGCCTTCCCAGCAAGCACACTCCATGGGCGGCCCCTGCCCTGACCCCTGGCCCCTGACCCTTACCCCTTGTCCTCAATGAGGCAGACGTGCTGGCTGTACACGCTCCAGTCAAAGGCCCCGGGCTCTTCCCGCAGCCAGAGCCCCAGCTCCTGGCGGTTCACCTCCAGGAAGTCTGTCATGGTGATGTCCTCGAAGTGGGCGCAGGCGCTGAGCAGCTGGTATATGGTGGGGCCCGAGCCGATGTCGATGAGGGTGCGCCCGGACACCTCACCTGGAGGGGGCAGAGAAGAGGGTCCTGGCGCCCGCCTGGCACCGCTTCTCCCTCCTCCCTCCTCTCCTCCTCTCCCTCCCTCTGTGTGTCTCTTATCTGGAAAAAGCACTGGCTCGGGGCCCTAGGCCTCCCCAGAGCCTGGACAACACACCCTGAGGAAGGGGCTTCCCTGTAAGTGCACCTGCCCTCCAGGGTGCTAAGCGGGGGAAGCCTGGGGTGCTGGCCGGTTCTCCCCGGGGTCTCTGTCTCCCCCCAATCTCTGTCTCTGTTTCTTTCGGTCTCTGTCTCTGTCCCTCCCGGTCCCTGCCCCTCACCTGCCACCTCACCTCTCACCTCTGAGCATCCTCCCCTCCCCTCCGCACCCCTGTGCACGGGTCTCTCTCCCGTCGCTCCCCTTCCTCTTCTGTTTCCACCTCCCGCTCCCCGCTCCCCGGTCCCGCTGCCTCCGGTCCCCTGAGGCCCCCGCGCTCACCGGTGGCGAAGGTCCGCGCCAGGCAGCCCAGCTTCCAGGGCCCCACGCCGTCCGGGCGGCTCAGGTCGCCCCGCGGGGGCGCGTAGTTGTTGCGGAGGTAGGCGCGGGGCTCGAAGCGCTGGTAGGCCGAGGCCACCTCCGCCAGGCCCGGGTGCGAGGCCCGGGCTGCGCCCGCCGCGGGGCCGGGGTGTGCCATGCTCTGCTGCCTCCGAGGCCCCTGCGCCCTGCTGGCCGCGCAGCCCCTTTATCTGCGGCGGGACCCGCGCCCCATCCGGTTGTTCGGGGGCGGGGCGGGCCGGCGGAGCGCAAACCGCCCGGGGCCGTGCGCCCGCGTCCCCCCCACCCCATCCGTCTCCCTTAGCGTCCGGGCCCCCCCTTTCCCCCCCCATCTGTCTCCCTTAGCGTCCCCGCCGCAGACAGGGGGCGGGGGGGCCGGCCCCGCGGGGACATCTGACTCCCCCGCCCCCGCCCGCGCCTCCCCTCCCTGCACGCTGTGCCCACCTGTCCCGCCCCGGGGCCCGCAGCTCCGTTTCCCACGGCACAGCCCTGCGACCCCGGCCCCGCAGCCTCCTGCAGCCCCCCGCGGCCCCCCGCAGCCCTCACAGCCTTGCACCCCCTTTTCCCGGCCCGCCGCCCCTTCTCTTCTGCATCGGCCCCCTCTCCAGGCCCCTCTCCATCCAGGGCCCAGCCCACCGCCAGGCTCCCCTTCCCTGGGACGCCCCGTCCAACAGTCACCCTTTCCGTAGCAAGGGCACCCCCACTCCCCGCTGCAGGCCTCTCCTCCGTACATGCCGCCCCCTCCCCCGCCCCCCCGCCCCCGCTCCCCCGCCCCCGGGCGCCCCTCCCCACCCCCCACCGCGGACAGCACAGTCCGTCCCGGCCTCCGCCCTGCGCCCCGGGCCCCGATGGGGCCGCGATAGGCGCGCGGGCCGCGCTAATGCACTTAGCCGGGGCAGCGCCCCTCCCGGACGGCCTGCGGGCGCCGAGCCACTTATCCGGGACCGCGAGGGCGGAAGGCTCAGGACGTTCCGGTCCCGTCGGGGCGCGGGCCAGGTGAGGGCGGGAGAGCGGGAGGGGGGGGGGGGGGGCGGCTCAGCCTCTGGGCCCAGGCACCTGGGGTCCCGCTGGTCTGGGGTTGCGGATCCCTCTCCCTCCCCAGCCCCGCCAGCGCCCTCTGGGGGAGGGGGCAGGCAAGGCGGCCGGGATGCCAGGCCTCCTCTTCACCTCCCAGCAGGAAGGGGATGCTGGAGCCGGGCTTGGAGGTGTCCTGGAGTGGGACCCTGTGGGTCACCCAGCGTCCCTGCCCTGGGCAGGCTAGCATGCCCTGGCCTGCTCCTGGCACCGCCAGCAGCCAGCTTGGAACAGGAGATGCCACCACAGCTGCATGGGGCACAGACAGGAGCCTACGCCCACCCCACCCCCAGCAACCTACCCTGGGCTGCCAGAGGCAGGGGAGCGCCTGATCCCAGCTGCCCAAACCTACCCTGGGCTGCCAGAGGCAGGGGAGCGCCTGAGCCCAGCTGCCCACCCCACCCCCAGCAACCTACCCTGGGCTGCCAGAGGCAGGGGAGCGCCTGAGCCCAGCCGAGGATTGCCTGTCTGCATTGGGAGCCGAGGCAGGTCAGCCTCGGGGTCACTGGCCACGTCCACACACGGAGACACAGCCAAGGACAGTCGCAGTGCCAGTTTTCCAGGAGATCAAGCAAACCCTGCAGGCCAGCTGGCCTCCTGGGCACTGCCCTGTGCCAGGGGATGGCACAGCGGAGTCAGCATACCCAAGGGGGACTGGACAGACAGCCCCCTGTTTACAGCTCTACCCGCCCCCCACCCCAACATCGGTGTACCCACTAGCTCTGCCATATTTAGCTCAGATGTACCCACTAGCTCTGCCATATTTAGTTCCCAGCAGTGAGCATGGGGGGGTGACCCCAATGGATGCCCCCCCCCAACCACAAGGAGAGACATGAAACTGGCACACGACTGAGCATTTATTGCAGCGCTAACAGAGGGTGCTGGGGGCTCTCCCTGCCTCTGCCCTCGTCACCTCCTCCTCCCTCTGCTCTTCTCCAAGCCTTCCCCAGAGCACTCCCACCTCCTTCCCCTCCCCCTCGGCCTTCTCTGAAGCTGGGTCACCCCTCTCAGGCGCCTCTTTCCCTCCTCCTGGGCTGGGCTGCTCAGCTGTGCTGGCCCTAGCTCCCCACCCTCCGTGCCCACCGTCTTTGCTCCCCTCCCTTTGGGAACGCAGGCATCCCGGCCTCCGGCTCCCTCCTCTCCTAGCCCCCAACTCCGGGCAAACTACAAAGCATCCGAGGCCAGCGGCTCCCCTCCGTGGTCCTAGCCAGGGAGGGCCCAGCCCAGCGAAGCGGGGACAGGGCAGCTCTCAGCCTCTCTGGGCGTCCTGGGACATGGAGCGGGACAGAGAGCGGCGCAGGGGGCCCGGCTTGCTGACGGGCACCACGGGGGGCAGCTGCTTGGTGATCTCCGCCACGTCCTGCCGCTCCGCGCACTGGCCGCTCAGGGCGGTCTCCAGGGCCAGCAGCTCGCGCAGCTGGACGGGCGTGTCCTCCCGCTCCTCCTTGGCGGCGCCCACCTTGGTGGGGGTGAAGATGGGCAGCGGCAGCGAGCGCTGGTACGGCAGCAGGTACTCCTGCAGCCCCTGGCCCAGGACGCCCAGGCGCATCACCAGCCAGGGGGACCGCTGCACCAGCGCCTGGCACTGGCCCTGCCGGTGGTAGGTCTCGTGCCGCTGGGCATCCTCCTCATGCAGGGAGCACCTGGGGGCGGGGGAGAGGGAGGGGACACTGAGCTCCTGAGCGTTGCTGTCCACTTAAGGGCCGGGCAGGGGACCCGGCGGGTGCAGGAGGGGTGGCCCCACCCGGAGAAACTTCGTGCTCGGGCTTCCTAAGGCTCAGGAGGGGTGCTGCTGGGGAGGGGAGGAGGGACCCCAGCTGGCCGCACTCACCCTTCCTCGGGCCGCGTGGACAGGCTCAGGTCCTTCCATTCGGCCCAGAAGGCCTCTCGGCGCTCGCAGTCCTGCTCCGACACCTGGCAGCTCAGCTCAGTCATGGCCATGGTCAGCCTCGCTCCCCCTGCTCCTTCCCGGCCTTTAAATAGCCCCTCCCCACTCCTCCAGGGCTATTTTCGGCCACTCTGGTGTCAGATGCCACAAGAGCCAAGACTCTGATAGGGGAACATCGGGCCCAGGATGGGGGTGGGGGGCCTGGACTGTTGGCTGCCCCCAGGTCAGAGGTCAACTTCCGAAGAGAGCAAGGTACTCCGGGAGGGGCAGGGGTCTTCCGTGCAACGCCCCCAGGTGCCTGGCATGCCCTGGACACTGTCTGAGGCCAGGCACATGCCCAGCCGCGTGCCACCTGCTCTCGGCCCCGCCCCTCCCCTTCAGCCAGGGAGGACGGAGGCTTGTCTGTAAACAGAGCAGGCACAGAGGCCCCTCTGGGCTCTGTACCAGGCGGCCAGGTCCCGGGCCCGTTGCTCTCCTCGGCCTGGGTTCGAGGACACATCCCGAGTATGCACGCCGGTGGCAGGGATCCTGGCGGCTCACTCCCCACCTGGCGCTGGGCAGGAACCGGCTCCTCCCCCATGGCCAGTGGTCAGAGGAGGGGTCGCCCAAATCCAGCGTCAGGGTGGAGCTAGGTGTGGGCATGGCCTCCAGCTCTATTCCCAACACCCCAACTGGGGTAAAACAGCGTGCGGGGGCAATCCAGGGGCTCCCATGAGGGGCAGTCAGCAGACCTGGCTCTAGCGCCAATCAAGCCAATCACAGATGTGACACTGGGGCAGTCCCTGCCCCTTTCTGAGCTACATCCCCCTCCCCTCCTGGTCACAACAGCCTGGCCAGAGCTCTGGGGCCTGCCAGCTCCAATGTGCCACCTGGGCAGGGCCTGCGCCTGGTCACGGGGACAGGATGGCTGCTGGGCTGTAAGCGGGCACACAGGTGGTGGGCAGGGAAGGGGGAGGAGGAACAGGGAGAGGCAGTGACAGGAGCTGAGGGCCTGTGGGGACAGCTGGCACCCACCTGGGGCAGGATGGCATACTCCTGATGACTGAGGCGGCACTATACCTGAGCATGGCATCTTTAATCTCATAATAGCCCTATGACGTAATGATAGTGAGGCTTGTGTTTACAAAGCAGGAAACGGAGGCTCTGATGCAGATCTGGCCCGGATCAGACACAGCCAGGTCCGAGATGGGCCCCGGGCTCTATGCAAGGTGGCTCCTTAGGGAGCCTGCAGGAAGGGAGCAGGGAGGGCAGCACCCTGGCTCTCGCCTGGGCTGACTCTTGTGTGGCCGGGCACAGGGGGTACGTACGAATGGAGCAGAGATCCCAGCAGCGCCTTGGTGACCAGGAAGCCCAGACACCCCTCCTCCAGGACCAGAAACAGCAAGGGCCTGCTGGGCCTCTCCCACCTCCTCCCAAATCCTGGACCTGAGACCTTAACCTGACCTTCCTCGCAGGAAGCCTGGCAGGGGTGGGTGGGGCATTTTTCTCTGCCCTGTCATCTGCCCAGTTGAGCCATTCAGGAAAGTGTGTGTGTGTGCTGGGGCGGAGGAGTCCAGAAACTGGATCCCACTGGCTCCTGGGGGTGAGCAATGTGCCCTGGATCTGGCCACCGTGGTGGCTCGCTCCTTCCCTGTGAGTAGCCAGCCGGAGGGCTTGCTTTTTTTCCTTTTGAGTTCATAGTTTTAGTTTTTGTTGTAAATATATATATTTTTATTGATTTCTGAGAGGAAGGGAGAATGAGAGATTGAAACATCAGGGATGAGAGGGAATCACTGATTGGATGCCTCAAGCACGCCCCACACTGGGGATCGAGCTCCCAACCCGGGCCTGTGCACTGGCAGGAATCAACCGTGACCTCCTGGTTCATAGGTTGACACTCAACCGGCCTGGTGAGTTCATATTTTTAATTGGCTCAAAATACAAAGGTCCCCGAGGAGGCCCTGGGCAGAGGGAGAGACCCTGGGAGAGGCAGGGGTTCACTGACAGCACCCACCATCCCCACCTGCCACCCGCTCCCCCACAAATACATGTGGAAAAAGGTCCCAGACCCTTTAAACGATTCCCAAAGCGTGTTGGGAGCAGGCAGGTGAAGGGGCTCCTGCACCTGAACCAGGTGAGGCCGCACCGGCTCCATCCTGCCCAGGGTCCTGGCCCTCACCCACCAAGTCTGAGGCTCCCGCTCCAGACCCTGCCCCGGGCTGAGCAGGGCGCCATGTAAACATCAGCAGGACAGACTCCACCTGCCCCGTGGCAGAGCCCGGAGTCTGGATGCTGACCCACAGCCTGCTCACGGCCGTGGCTCAGGCACGGCGGAGCGTGGCCGCTCGGGGTCAGGGGATGCCACGGGAGGGCTCTGCTTGGTCCTCCTGAGGCCAGGTCCTCTGTGGGCAGCCCAGCCGGCCCCCTCTGGCTCTGGAGGCTGTGGCGACCGAACCCTGGCCCGCAGGGTGACAGGGGGGCACAGCTATGCCCGGGCCCCCAGCTCGCCGACGCGCTGCCGCAGGTGGAAGGCAAATTCAAACATGGTGGCTGCGAGGCTCTGGTGGATGAGGTACCGGGGCAGGCGGCCCTGGGGAGGGGAGGGAAGATGGGGATTAGCTCTCGGCAGGGCTCCTCCCTCATCTAGGGCACCAGCAGCGAGTGCTCTGGGCCAGAATGCAGGTGCAGCTCTGGAATGCACCGAGGCCACCCTCGCCCCCTCACCCTTGGCAGGAAGAACATCCTGTGCCCAGGTCCTGGCACCAGCCAGCCAAACAGACCTGGGAGGGGCCAGGCTGGCAGCCAGCCACTCCTCCTCAGGGCTTCAGGAGCCAGAGGTAAGAAGCGAGAGGCACAGGCCCTCCGGCTACGCAGGGCAGTGAGATTTGGGGCTCTGGGCCAAATCAAAGAGTAAGGACGGAGGTGGAGAAGAGGGGAGGCCTGGGGGGGCAGGGAGCCCCGAGGTCACACATCAGGGCCTGCCTGCAGCCCCGGCCCCGCACCTTGAGATCTGTGTTGAGGATCCAGATGAAGGTGCAGACGCGGGGGTTGCTAGCCGACTTGAGCACGACGAAGCCCCCAGGACCATTCTCGCCCCTGAGGAGAGAGGCACCACTGGGACTCTGGAGCCAGGCGAGGCCCCTGACTCGCCCCCTCCATTCCTGGCCCACCTTGGACGTGGGTGGAAGAGGGAAGGGATCTGCGGGTCCTGTGATGCTCAAACACTCCCACGGCAGCTGCCAGGCCTGCACCCCCCACCCGCCCAGCCCCCACCACGTCCCGTCATCCTAGGTCAGCAATAGCTGTGAGGGTGGCGGGCCTGCACGTCTCACCCCTGCCCAGTTCAGAGAACAGAGGGGTGCTGGTGGCTTCCAGGAGGGGGCGCCCTCTCAGGGGCTGTATTCACATCACACACACATACACACACACCCGTTTAACCTGCCCACTGCTCCACGGAGCGCCCTAAGCGCACTCCACGGATAAGGAGGCTGGCACCCCGAGAGGAAACCAGCCTGCCTGTCACCCACAAGTCCGGGTCGGCTGAGCCCAGAGCCCAGCCTGATACCCAATCGAGAGTGCTCTCTGCGAGCTCAGGAAGGAGGGGAGCGGTAACTGGGCGAGGCCGCCCGTGGCTCTGGAGTCCAGGATTAGACAGACGGGGAGCCCTGGGGAGCCTGGAACAGACCTCAGCTCGGGAGGAAGGCCAGGCAGGGATCGCCAGGGATCGGGACGCAGAGGACGGGGGAGGGGACTCGGATCTCCTGCTCGGGGCGCCCGGGGTGGCCCGATCCCCGTCTGCCCAGAGCGGGTGGCGTGGGTGCAGACGAGACGCCCCCAGACCCCGGCACACGAGCAGCGGATGAGCAGGATCAGGGCTGGGAAGGACAGAGCCCAGAGGGACGGGGACAGGAAGGCGATCCCCGCAGGAGTCCCCGCTGTCCTCACTGTCCCCGCCTGTCCTCACCGCCGCCCGGGAGGGGCTGCCCGGGAGGCCCCGGGGCCAGGCCGGCTCACCTGACGTATTTGTGGGTGGGGGGCTTGGCGCAGTGGGTGGTAGCGATGCCGGAAGACAGGTATCTGTCTCTGCGCCGCTCTATGCGTCGGACGTTCACAAAGTCCCTGGGGGGGGGGGGGAGGGTCAGGTCAGGGGGTGCCAAGGATCCAGATGAAGGGCACCAGCAGGGAGTGCCTGAGAGGAGGGGGTGTGGTGGCCACTCACCGAGGGGAGACCACTCCGCCTGCGGCCCCCGCAGACACGTCGTAGGAAACGAGGGTGTTGTCTTCTACTCGATGCAGGATCTGCGGTGTGAGGGGGACGTGAGGTGCAGCCCATCCCAGGAGACCCAGCCCCGCCTCCACCCCTCCATGCTCAGGTCCCTTTACCAACAGCCACTGCCATTCCTGGGGCCTGGACCAGGCGCCCACTTTCCCAACCCTCTCCCGTTAACACTGCTGCCCTCACCCCCACGTCACAGCTGGGGAACCTGAGGCACAGAGCAGTCCCATGGCATGGCCTGGGGCGCCTGGGGCAGCTGGCCACGCCAGGGCATCGCCCTGACCCCCGTGTCCTCGGCCCCGGCCGCTCACCTGGCAGGCGGTCACCGTCTTGTTCCAGAGCACCATCCGCTCCGGCTGCAGGATCACCTCCTGGTACACCAGCTCCGCCGGGCAGGGCAGGAAGGTCTGGGCAGGGCGGGCAGAGGGCAGGGTGGTGCCAGCTGGGCTCGGGCACCGCAGCCCTTCCCTCTTGGTGGCGAGACACCTGCCAGCGGGCCCCTCCGCCCCAACCTGGAGTCCCAGCGGCTCCGGGACCCGCCAGGACACCCGATTCCCTCCCTCACCTTCAGGATGAACGTCTTGCCGTGAAAGGGAACCTCGATGGTGTACACGGTGTCCCCGTATTCCTGTGGGAGGGACAGAAGGGGGCCGGGAGGCGGGGGGCCGGGATGGGCTGGTGGCTCAGGAAGGGGAGACGGGTGTTTGAGGTTTCTAACAGCTCAGGGCAGAAAAGTCCAGGAGTAAAAAACAGTGGTTCTGACAAGTGTCTGGCAACAGGGAGGGAAAAGCTGTGGATATCAAGTTAAAAGGCAGGAGCACAGCTGTGGCCGTGACCACGAAGAACCG